CATACTTTATTATTCCTATCACTGAAAGGGGTAAAGGTAAGCAAATGAAATAAATCTGTGATGTATTATGTTATTAGCTGACGTTAGCTTAGAAGATCAGCCATGATTGAATGGCGGGGCAGGCTCAAAGGGCCGAATGGCCTACTCCTGCTCCTACGTGTCATGTTATCACTGCAGTCAACCATACAGTCTCTTTGTGTGATTGAGGAACATTGCTGGTGAGGGAACTGTACAATATTCAAACACATTTATATAGCCCCTTTCACATTGTGAGGACATCTCAGAGCTCCTGAACAAAAGGAGTATCATCATGGGATCAACACCAAGTCCAAGTTTCTCTCTAAGTCACACACCATCCTGACTGGACATCCATCGCCACTTCTTCAATGTCACTGGGTCAAAATCCTGGAAACTGTCTAGCACTCGCTTTGCAAGCGAGAGACCTGAGTTCAATTCCAGGCAGGGGGAAACCTTGGGCAAGTTTCCTTACTCCACACAGAGCCTAATAATAATCCCTCCAAAACCAAAAACAATAATAAGTTGGTCATTTTCAATCTACGACTGTTTGTGGGACATTGCTGTGCGCAATTGGCTGCCGCGTTTGCCCACAAATATACAGTCAATTCACTTTACAGTGTGTTTTGTGAAGCGCTTTGGGACATCCTCCCGACGTGAAAAGCGCTATATCAAATGCAAGGTTTATTATTATTATTATTACCCAACATCACAGTAGAAGCACCATTGGTGCTAGAACTGCAACATTTTAAAGAAGACCCCACCATCACCTTCTCAGAATAACCAGGACGGGCAATAAAAGCTGGCAAATTGTCTACCGCTCACATCCCGAGACAGAGCAAAAATAAAATTACAGGATGTCCTTTAGAAGGAATACATCCCCAATGTAGCTTTCTTATTGTGAGATGCCAATATAGTAGAGAAAACAGTTCTTTAGAAGTTGCTTCTTTAATACAGCTAAAATAACTCTTGAACTTTATGAATAAGCTTGATTGATGCAATCATCTACAGCTCATAATCCAAAGAAAAATTTACAGCACCTGACAGTTTTGAATAACTGTTGCTCAAGTCATGAATAGTTTGCAACACAAAATACCCTGTTCAATACCCAGTCAGGTGTAGTTACGATCCAGGAGAATTTCACTGATTCGACAAAAAATAGATGTGTTTTGAGCAACTTAAACTGCTATTAAGCCAACTTTTGTTATTGCCATGGAAGGAGTAGCACCACTTATCAGGGTCCTACCAGGTTCAGCCTTTGAAGACGGTGGAAGAATTCATAGAGAAATAAATCACTGCTCTTATCCCCCAAACCCAAAAATCAATAAATAATTTGTATTTTTAGAGTGTCGTTACTGTCACATGCAGTGACTACTTTCTTTAGACAAACACAGCAACCATTTTACTTGCATCAAGATCCACAAACAGCCACAAGGTGAATGACCAATTTACCTGGAGTCCTGACCAACTGGAAGAAATGCCCTTCTCTTTGGTAATGGCTTTTCAAAACTCTAGGTCAAGGTGGTTCAACAGGCGGCCTGATTTCATTCAGCCTCCTCCCTCCCTCCCTTTCATCTGTCCCGCCCACTTCCTCCGTAACCCGTAGATGTGGTTGTTATGTTATGTTTCTGGATGGGAAGCACAAAAATATTGCCTATGCCGCCTACATACGTTTCTCAAATAGGGCATCCATTCCTCAGCAGCTAAAAAGTTGGATCACCCAGCAGTAGGTGAATTTTCCGACAGAAGAGAATGAACTGCAATAGGTGTAAATTTGCTTTGGTCATATTACAATAAACAATAGCATTTGCATTGTGACCAAGCATTCCTAACTTCAGAGCGGCGTGGATCAGTTCATTTGTCTCCTTGTGGGGTCCATCCATGTTCCCTTCTTTCACATACAGGATTTGGTGTAATCCAACAAGTAAGCACTACACTTAAGAGTAAATCCTGTGAAGCACTTTGAGATGTTTCGATGACATGGTAAGACGATATACTGCAAGGATTATTACTTTGTAAAGTTTCAAAAATGAAAAACACAATTCTGAAACTTATAGTTTATTCCAATGAAACACATATTGAGAATACTCAATGTTCTCAATGAGAATACTCGATGTTCTCAATTTTCCGCTCCAATTTTCCGATCTACAAGCAGCTCAGAAAATATTGTATTCAAGGGATTTAGTGAAGAAAACAAGACTTGTACAGATTTCCATTGCAAACTCTGTGTCAATAAGTGGATTGTGCCTTTATCCTTTTATATAAACATCTAGTAATTAGCCCCTTTATTGCAACTGCTCTGGACCTGTGCCTAGCTGTACAACACAGCTTATAGATCATTCTGATGAATGCTCTTGTATGAGTGCACAAAATGTAACCCACTTTCCAGTGATTCTCATTTGCTTTCTCTGAAATAAAATCCTCACAATCCTGTTCTCAGGTGACACAGCACACACTTTGGATCATGTGAAAAAGCACGCGCTTTGGAGTCCTTTCGCATGTGAACAAAACAAGCTTAAGTAGAAAGAGAAAAGCGTTGGCAAAATTAAGCGCAAAGCTGAATCAGGCGCCACCTTTCTCATTTTGAAAGTAATCAATTTGCCTGCTTGGTTTCTGGCTGGCACTGAATTTTTACCACCAGAAAGAAGCTAAGAAAAGTGCAGGTGAGGCAGTGCAAGTGTTGATTTAATTAAGAGTTTTAGGAGAGCAGGTAACATACCTTCCAAGATCAAGCATCACTGTAGAATGCATGCATCACTGTAGGGAGCATATTAACGTGGATTGGGGAATGGTTAACGGGTAGGAAACAAAGAGTACGGACAAACGGGTCCTTTTCAGATTGGCGGGATGTGACTAGTGGAGAGCCACAAGGATCAGTCCTTGAGTCTCAGCTATTTACCATCTACATCAACGATCTAGATGCGGACATCGAAGTTAATATATCTAAATTCGTGGATGACACAAAACTAGGAGGAAGTGTCAACACAGAGGATGACATTTAAAAAATGCAGCGAGACATAGATAGGTTAGGTGATTGCGCAGGTAGGTGGCAGATGAAGTATAATGTAGGGAAGTGTGAAGTCATCCACCTCGGTAGCAAAAACAGTAGAGCGGGTTATTTTTTAGAAGGGGAGAGATTTGAATGTGTTGGCGTCCAGAGGGACTTGGGTGTCCTTGTACACCAATCACAGAAAGTTAGTCTACAGGTGCAGCAGCAATTAGGAAGGCTAACGGTATGTTAGCATTCATTATGAAAGGATTAGAGTATAAGAGTAGGGAAGTCTTGCTGCAACTGTATAGGGCCCTGGTGAGACCACACCTGGAATACTGTGTGCAGTTTTGTCTCCTTATTTAAGGAAGGATGTACTTGCCTTGGAGGGGGTGCAGCGTAGATTTACTAGGTTAGTACCAGGGATGAAGGGGTTGAGTTACGAGGATAGGCTGACCAATTTGGGCCTATATTCTCTAGAATATAGAAGAATTAGAGGGGATCTTACAGAAACCTATAAGATCATCAAAGGGCATGATAGAGTAGATAGTGGGAGATTGTTTCCCCTGGTTGGAGAAACTAAAACCAGGGCTCACAACCTTAAAATCAGAGGCCAGCCCTTTCGCACTGAATTGAGGAAGAACTTCTTCACTCAAAGGGTGGTGAATGTATGGAACTCACTACCCCAAAGGGCTGTTGATGCTTAGTCCTTGAACATATTCAAGACTGAGATAGATAGATTTCTTATTAAAAAAGGGATTAAGGGATATGGGGATAAGGCAGGGTCAGGTTATTAGCTGGAGTTAGAATAGAAGATCAGCCATGATTGAATGGTGGGGCAGGCTGGAAGGGCCGAATGGCCTACTCATGCTCCTACATGTTATGTTATGTTAATGCCTTCTCCTGCTAATTTACGCATCTAGGATGCGCTCAGCTAATCCTTGTAACACACAGGTAACCGGAGCAATGTGAGGACAAAACCCATTCAGAAATAAGAACCAAATAACATTTGTATAGCATCTTTCATATCGGAGGACGTCCCAAGGCACTGGACAATCAGTGTTTTAGACCCGAGCTGGGTGTCAGGATCGGGGAGAGTGGAGGACAGGGGGAAGGAGGGTGATCCAAGGCACGGTCGAAGAGGAGGGTCTTGAAGGAGGCAAAGGAGGGGGCGAGGTGGAGGGACTGTTGGATGGAGTTCCAGAGGGTGGGATAGAGTGGCTGAAGGCTCATCCACCAATAGTGGGGCAGGCGAGGTGGGGGACGTGAAGCAGGCCGGAGCCCACTGAGCGGGGCGAGCAGGCAGTTTGGCAGAGGGTTAGGAGGTTATAGAGGTAGGGGGGAGTAAGGCCACGGAGGGCTTTGAAGGTGTGGATCAGGATCTTGAATAGAAGAGAAAGAACATTCCTTCTTTTTGATTTATATCGTAAATCCTTCCCCTGGATGTGATGAAATGCAGAAACTGATCATAAACAACTGGAGTCTATAGAGATGGTGTCAGTAACTTCAATTATGTGTATTTTTTTTAATTGCCTCACTGATTTTCCTTTGTTGGTGAATGGTTCCCCTGTTCCAGTGACCATCATTCACATGTAAGCCTCGGCAGTGAGTTTTAGCAGGACACTCTATTGTAGAGGATCTCATAACCAAGCTCGACTTCTCCCCATCCAGCTGCCACAAGGGTGAACAGTAGAGAGTGCTGAAGAGGGGCTAGGAGTAGGGACCCTGGCTGGTTTTCCCCTCTTTAACCTTGGCAAGATTACAGCAAACTAAGCACGGACCAGGATTTGAAACTGTGAGCTCCTGGTCTGTAAGATGCAGCTTTGTCCACCACAACATCAGGGCTGTCTCAGTTTGATCAGACTTTTAAGCAGGTTCATGGGGTTCCCTGTGTGTAAGACAGCCAGCTGACCAAATTAAAAGATTTTGATCAGCTGGATGTATCACACACAGGGATCGTCATGCTTTTTTCACGAAAAAAGTCTAATCCACTTACCCATTCCTGTGCCAGCAGGTGCTATTTCCCGTGAGAACAGCTCCAGGGCTTTCTTCTGCATATGCTGCACCGCCAACCAAATAACAGCCTCATGGGGACCCTGTATATGTACACAATTAACATAGTCAAAGACCATCTATTTTTCCAGAGAAAAAAAATCATTTTAAAGTGCCTGATCAAACTTAAATGGCTGTTCGTGGGACGTTGCTGTGCGCAGATTGGCTACACTTTACAGTGAATCCGGTGAAGTGCTTTGAGGTTTTTTGAGAAACTATGTCAGGCAGAACCTTCAGGGTGGGGCGGGGGAGGTGATGGAAAGAAAAACTTGCACCCCCCAATTTTAACTTTATAATACAAGGTACGCTTACTGAGAGCTCTGGATTTTAAGCGCTGAAACTCTACCCTGTATGGAGGGCGCTATATAAGTGCAAGTTGCTGTTGTTGGTTTCTCTAACTATAACAATTTCATATCTATATATTGTTTACTACTTATTGCAATTTGTTAAATTAGATATGTGACTATTTGTTGATTTTGGACACACGTCACGAGTCATTGCTGAGAGCTTAGATCAGACAAATTGCCTCTCCTTTCAAATGATTTGAGGTAAATATTCATACGACAGTCCTATCCTTAAATAGCTGCTTGCCTCCACTAGGCTGTATTTTAAAACTTTGAATAATACACTTATTAAAATTCTGTAACATCCACACTGTTTATGTAGCTACTTATAAAGGTATTGCAAAAGTAGTTTTAAAGCAGCTAAAAAGTGCCAAAGACAGTCAGCCTCACAGCTTTGTTGGATCAGCCTGGGACAGAAAACCTGTCAAAGGAAGATTGGTTCTTGGTCACTTTCCCACCCAGGTAAGTTATGGTACATGGCTTTCTCCTTCCCAGTTCAACTTTGTTCCTCTGCAGTTATGAAGATATTAAATTTTGGAATGCCTGACATGGTTGGCTGATTGGATCTTATTGCTGTTAAAAAAAATCTTTTGTTGAAAACCACAGATAGCAGGAACATCCTTGTGTAATTCAGTCAGTAATAAACAGAGTTATACATACACCATCTGCCCTCTTTACTGCTCGCTCTCCCCCGTAGGTTTCACCAGATCCCAGAACCTCTACGTTCACCGACTTAAAGTCACCCAAACCAAATTGCTTGAACATGCGTCGAGTCCTTTAAGAGTCAACAAAAGAGCATCACGTTAAAACAATCATACACCTGCATTTGACATAAGTGCACATCATTTTGAAATGACTGGAAATGCTTCACACAAATGAGTCACTTTTTTGCAGTGACTTGTTATGTAGGCAGTCACAACAGATAACCTGCATCAGCAATGTTCCACAAACAGCAATGGAATTAACTGCCAACTGTAATGCGGGCAAGGGAGAAGAATATTTGTCACAACATCAGGAGAACTTTAGCAGGACACTCTATTGTAGAGGATCTCATAACTCTCCTCAAAATAATGCTATGGGATCTTTAACGCAGGCAGCCAGTTCTGGTAAAGGCCATAAAAATAATAAGCTTTGCATTTGATACACCACCAATATAATTGAAACACCATAAAGTACAGGGAAATTATGTCAAATGTAGTGAATGAATTTGTAGGCATGTGCAGCAGGCAAATTGCACACAACAATGTCCTACAAACCATCATACAGTGAATGACTAATTTATCTGGAGGAGTTTTGGCCAGGACAATATTCTTTCCGAATAGTGCCATGGGATCTTTAACATCTAACTGAACAGATAGGCGGGACCTTGATTTGACATCTCATCAAAAGGACAGCACATCCAAGAATGCAACCCTCTCCCAACAATGCACTCAATGTCCCAAAGTGTGGCTGGAGCTCATAACCTTCTGAACCATTGACAGCAATGCTTCCGAGAGTCAGGCTGGCACATGGATATTAACAAAATTACATTTGTATATCGCCTTTCACGTTGGGAGGATGTCCCAAGGTTCTGGACAGACAGAGTTACCGACCCAAGCTGGTGTCGGGGTGAGGGAGGGTGGAGGGCAGGGGGGGGAAGCAGGGAGATCGAAAGCACAGTCGAAGAGGAGGGTCTTGAGGTGGGTCTTGAAGGTGGCGAGGGAGGGGGCGAGATGGAGGGACTACAGGATGGAGATTCAGAGGGTGGGTGCAGTGACAGAAGGCCTTCCCGCTGATAGTGGGACGAGCAAGGTGGGGGATGTGAAGCAGGCCGGAGCCCGCTGAGTGGAGGGAGGGAACAGGATGGTAGGGGATTAGAATGTCGGAGAGGTAGGGGGGAGCAAGACTGTGAAGGTGAGGACCAGGATCTTGAACTGTATCCTCTGTGTGATGGGAAGCCAATGAAGTTGGGCAAGGATTGGGGTGATAGGGTCGCGGAACCTAGTGCGGGAGAGGACACGGGCTGCAGAGTTCTGGATGATCTGCCATCCACAAATGGACTAGCATCTTTTCCAGGCCCAAGTGTCTATGGAGAAGGTGACAGCAGTCCACCAAGTACAGCTGCATACTCAGCCAGTACTGAAGTCTCCTGGTTCAGGTAACTGAAGATCAACATACAGGGCCTAAAAGGAGACTGATGTAATAGTAATCCTTGCATTTATAGTTGTAGTAATAGTAATCGAATGCAAGGATTATTATTGTTATTGTTTGATATAATGCTGTATTACGTCATTAAAACAACTCAAAGTGCTTCACCAGATTTTACTGTAAAGTGTAATGACTGGGCATTTGTAGGTGAGGTTATTGACCAGAACAGTGCTTGTAAAATGGCAGATCTTTGCCATTGTGCTAGGAAGGGCAAGTGAAGTTGTTTTCAAGAACCTCCAACAGGGAAGGAGATATTGATATTTTGTTAAAATTTATTTTAAAAAAATGAAATGAAAATGATTACACAAAGTACTGTTCCCGAGATAATTTGTTTCTCTATTAAAACAAACCGTTTTAAAATGCTCTCAGCAGTCCGTTTTCCTTTCTCCACAGATCGGGGCCCTCCCACTGAGCAGACGGCTGTGGCTCTGTAACCATCAAAGTAAGTAGCACAAACCTAAGGGCCCAAAATGTTTGGAATCAAATTCAGAAACGGCTATGGATTATCTTTGGACACCTACAACTTAAGGCAGTGGTGGCCACCCTTTTTGACCATCCAACCAAATCCATTTTTCTTTCTGGAATTTTTCTTCATTGATGATGGCGCTGTGGGTATTGTGGCTCAGTAGCTACTGGAAACAAGTATTATTTGGTGCCAATCTGCCTGGACTTTTGCAGATGTCCTGTAGGCCACTACAGGCCCCCTTCCACCCAAATGGCCCGTGGGCCACTACACCAGTGTAACGTAGCTTGCCTTTAGTCCTTATAAAAATACTTTTGCTCTGAAGGTAGTCAGCATTGTGTCAGAGGAAGGGATATTAGACAATATTAAGTAGGTGGAAGGGGAATCAGTTAATATTAAGTAGGAAGATAGGGAATCAGTTAACATTATCAATGGTAATAATATTCAGAGAATGGGGAATAAGTTAACATTAAATAGGAGGGGGAGGGGGGGTGAATCAGTGAACATTATGTAGGAGGGAGGGGCTTCTGCTGTTTGGTAAATGCGCCAAAATGTTTTTTATTCCGCAAACTGTAATACTTCACATTTATCATCGGTTAAACTGCATCTGCCACTTTCCCGACCATTTCTCTACACTGTCAAAGTTCTTGTGATGTTTCATTTCACAGTACCTTGTAGTGGTCAGATGGAGGCGATCCCTTTGCTCCCTGGACCCGCACTGCCCTGTCTTCCATGTCTACAAAAGGATGAAAGCAATCGGATTTAGGCTGCCCTACAAGACAATCTAGAATTGGTTTCATAACATAGAGAAACAGTTTGAATTGTTTTGCCATGCACTTAAAGCAATCATATGTCAGCTTAAAATACTACATGCAACCTTACCAGACTTTTACGAAGCAAAGAGTCAGTGGAATAATATTAATTTTACATTAGATATAGCACCTTTCAAGCTGCTTCACACGATTTACTGTAATGTGCCATCCTTCAGATGAGACTGAGGTCTCGACTGCATGTTCAGGTAGATGCTAAATATACCATGGTATTACTTGGAAAAAAAAGGGAGTTTTTTTTTTTGTTTTGGTGTCCTGGTCAACAGTCGTCCAGAGAAAAACAAATTGGACACTCACTTCACGGCTGTTCATAGGACAGTACTGTAATCAAAGGTTGCTACGATCAAAATACAGGCACTACACTTCAGCAATTACCTGTGAAGCTTTGATATAAGTATTATATCGAGTACAAGGAATTATTATAGTGTGTCAGCCTGATACAGTATATCCTGGGAAGTGGCAGTTCTTGTGAAGCGCTATGAGACATCCCTCTGGCGTGAAAGACGCTACACCAAATGCAAGGATTATCATTATCATTATTATTATGAGCGAACACTTGAGCACATCCATTTGGTTCTATGGAATGCTTTTTGAAAAGCTGGTGCCAACGGGTTGCACTGTTATCAAATATAAAGTCAGGCAGATATGGCAACTTCACACTACAAACCCATAATTTAACTTACAGAACTATTTACAAACTGTCCTAATCCTTCTTCATCTGTCGACACGATGACCCCCCCCCCCCCCCCCCCCCCCGAGTGCGGTGGGCTGCATCAAATGTCAGGGTATTCCCATCTGACAGAACATTCCAGATCATTCCAAACAACTTTTTTTAAAAAACAAAAGCTGTGCATGTTCCCCATTAGCTGTATTTATAGTAGGTATAAATAAAAAAGTTCATGTAAAAGTTCAGTAAGAGTTTACATACTATGAACTGGGTCATTGGCAAAGCTAATGGTTAGTTCACTTCCAGTTCAGATTTTAAGCAGCCTTCATCTATGTTAGGTATGCAAACGTCGATGTGCAGCTCTTAGTACGTTGCGTGTCAGAGTTAATGATCCTCCAGAACCTAAAAATAACCGCGAATGCCATTAGACAAAATTATAGAGTTAGCTACAGGAAATGCAGTTTGAATTCCAATTACTGCAAATGCTATCTTTGCCTCCCCCTTCCCTAAGTTGTCTTATTTTCCCCCCTCCCTCCTTCAATTAAGATCTCTCCAAGCTTTGTACACCAAAGTGTGCAAGAGTTCTCAAGAGGTTGGTGGACAAACCCCCTCCTACTCATCCGCTTGGAGAGGCACAAGATCAGCTGAGGTGATGACTCCTCATCCTTCACGTCAAAACAGTGTGAGGCAGCAATAAACAAGACAAAAAGGATGTCAGGCTACATTGTCAAATCAGTTCAGTTCTCCATGTTCATGCTGTCAAATGCTCTCGTTAGGTTGGACCTAAAGTTCTGCGTACCATCCGGTTATTGCAACATAAGAGGGATTTTGAAGCCCTAGATCTAGTCCAGAACAGACTGATCGAGGATGATCCCCAATGTTAGAAGGATGAGTTATGAGGAATGACTTGATAAGGTAGGGCTCTTTGGTTTACATCAACACAATAGGATAAAAGGGCACAGGTTCAGGGTTGTAGAGAGCATTTTCAGATACTAGTATTAGAACTAGTATTTCTTCACACACAGAGAGTAATTAACAGTTGGAATAATTACCAGGCAGGGTGATGGGAGTCCAAGACATTGAACTAATTTAGGAAACAGCTTGATGGACTTCCTTAAAAGAGTTTAGCTTTGCAAATTTGGGTGAATATTCTGGAAAAATGAGATCAAATGGTCTGAAGACCAAATGTCTCTTGTGATCTTGTGGACACTTAATAGTTGTTGGAACTCCAATGCAACAATTCACTCCATATCGATTACGTAGGACTAGTTTACTTACTGCCTTACGTACTACTTTGCTGGACAGAAATGAAAATAAAAGTGCCAACAATAATTTGGCAGTAACGCAATAGAGAAGTGTGACAGAGGTTTGCGATTCAGACCTTCAATAGTAAAGTCGGTCAAGTCAACAATTAGATTCTTATTTCAACAAGTCAAACCATGAAATAAAAATAATATTTGTTTTAGTTTTTGCTGAGGCTTCATTGCAATGTTATCCTTAGTGAAAAGTGTGCAACACACAAGGGGGTTTCATATTCCCCATTAGTGGGGAAGCCTCGCACAGTTTGAGGTCTTCTTAGAACTAGATATAGCTATAGAGAGGGGCTGCAGTATTGGGTCACTAAATATCTTTTTCTTTTGAGCATTCAGGGAGTATTGCCTTTTCAGGTTATTCTAAAAGTCAAAGCTTGCATGAGAATGCCATTATTAAATAGACAAAGTGATAATACTGCACTGTATGCTGACGCTCTCTGTGTTTTCTTACAAAAATCAATTCAGGGAAATGTAGGACTATTTCTTTTTAACTAAACTGGGGAACACAGTCAAACAAAATTGCATCTTAATAATAATAATAAAAATAATCCTTTCATTTGATAATAGTGCCTGTTCACGTCTGAGATGCCTCAAAGCACTTCACAGAATATACTGTAAAGTGAATTGACTATATTTTGTGGGTGAAACGCGGCAGCTCATAGCAGTGTCCCACAAACAGTAGTGAATTGAGTGACCCTTTATTTTGTATTCTTATTTATTTATTTTTGAAGGGATTGTTATCCCCAGAAAAGCAATCCGCCAACCGGGTTCCTACTTATTGATTGGTAAGCAGAAGCACGTGGAGTAAGGAAACTTGCCTAACGTTTTGTCCTGCCTGGGAATCGAACCCAGGACCTCTCGCTTTGTGAGGCGAGTGCTTTAAATAATATGCTACAAGGCTCTTTTACAGTATAAAGTGGCCAAGTATACCTTATATTAAAATAAAGGTGTTTACACGTAAATATTTGGACTTCACTCCAAATTCACTGACTTTTCTTTGATGCTTTCACCTCCTTGAGCCCACACAGCGCCCTCAGTCCAGAAGTGGAGTTGGCGATTTGATCTCATGTCTCTCAATTCACTGCATCACCAGCAATCCCCGTGCCCTCTCTGTGCAAGATTAGCAATTTAGCGCCGATAGGAATCTGATTGAACCATGCTCATTTCACGCTGGTTTCACACCAAAATTCATGCACAGGACATCGAACGAGACGTTAATACCATGTGAAATGCTTAGGGATGTCCTCCCTCAGATTGACTGAACCAGTGCGCAATTTAGGCACCAGGTTCAAGCCCCAGCTGTCCTTCCTTCACCATATCTGGTCCCTGACCAGGTCCGCCTTCTCCCACCTTCGCCACATTGCTCGCCTCCGACCGTACCTTGCCCCAAATGCAGCCAAAACCCTCGTTGATGCATTTGTCACCTCCCGCCTGGATTACTCAAACGCACTCCTCACCGGTCTCCCCAGCTCCACTATTCAAAAGATCCAGCTCATTCAGAACTCTGCCACCGCATACTGATCCGGACCAAACTCGGTACCCATATGTCACCAGTTCTGGCCAGTTCTGGCTTCCCATCACTGAACGGATAGACTTCAAGATCCTCACGCTCGTGTTCAAATCCCTTCACTCCCGGGCACCTCCCTACCTTTCCAAACTCCTCACTCCCCAATCCACCACCCGGTGCCTCCACTCAACTGTCATCGACTGGCCTCCTGCTTGTCCCTCGCACTATCCGCCCCACATCAGTAGTCGCGCATTCAGCCACTATACCCCAAAACTCTGGAACACTCTCCCTCAATCCCTCCGCGTTGCCCCCCTCTCCCCTTTTTCAAGTCCCGCCTGAATACCTTCCTTTCTGACCGTGCTTACGGTCACCTTCCACTTCCCCCCCCACTCGGAGTCAGGCTCCGCCACTGTCAAGTGCTCTGAGACACTAGCCTGCGTGGAGGGTGCTACATAAGTGCAAGTTGCTGTTGAAAGACACTATAACAAATGTAAGGATTATCATTATTATTGGATGTGAAAGGTCAGTTTTCTTAATCATTGCACCGGTCAGTTCCTTTGTCCCTGGCATTCGTAAACTGACACAGAGCTGTAATTAATGCCTGGTCACTGCAGTTTTCAACCAAACAAATCTATGATCAAACATATTAGTACCATCTGAAATGAGCAACAAGTGGGCCACATGCTTTCTCAACTAATGCCACCACAGAGGGCTTTTGTCCATTACTGGCTGTAATGTCAAGTTCTAAAACACAGCTTGGTACAGCATGTGAACAGGATCGTGGTATGTGCTGACCTGGGATTTCAGAGATAGTAACCTGGGAGAAATCGCAGACGACATCAGGCAATTGGTAACGCTGGGGATCACCTATTTCATACACCAGCTGCTCTGCTACGGTACCAAAAGACACGAGGCCTCCAGTTTTAGGTGGCTTAGTGAGTATGAAACTTCCATCAGAGGAACATTGAACCACAGGAAAGCCAATGTTATCCCTGGAAACAGATCAGAAATATTACTTTAACAACAACAACTTGCATTTATACAGTACCCCTCACGCAGGGTGTCATCCCAGAGCACTTACTAGTCAGAAAGCTCAGATGAATTTACAGATTCAACTCAATATAAAGCAGCAATGTCACCTACATCAACGACAATAACAATTTTCACATAGACGGGAGAGAGTGTGGTTGAAAGCCGTTGTCAAAGAGATAGATATTATAAACAGGCTTTGAAAGCTGATGTTTGTAAAGGAGAAGGATTTGGGTTTTAAAAGAGTAGTGTCATCTAATAACCTCTTGTGAAAATTTCACATTTTAATAAGCACACTTATCAAAAAGAAATTAGACCTCATTCTTTTTCAGCAAAAATACTGGAACTATGGGTGTAAAATAAGAACACAACTCTAAAAAAAAGGCAAATCGGGAGCTAGCAAGGGGTCTTGTGACTCTGTAATGTTTTTTACTGGGTGTGTATCGAATTATTAAATGTAACTTTAACTCCCTGAGTATTTACATATGGCTTGCACAAGGAGCACGATAGACCTCGATTTTGGTTTATAGAACAATAAAAGCTAAAAATAACAATTTATGGAAGAAACATGATGGTTCAATACCAGTCAGGGACTCTGTGCCAATCTGTGAATATTCCCCCTGTACACTGGGCTCCACATTCAATCAGGTGGCCGGCAAGGCTGAACATTAAGAATCAAAACACATCACAGTTAGGACATTTTAGAACCACCATTTTTCCCCCTCACCACATATGCTTTTCTTATCAGATCTCTTGGATCTCGTGGCTTTTCCTGGCCAATAAGGTCGACAGGTGAACTCACTCTTGGATATGATATGCCCCCTGAGTCCAAAGCCCACCCTTCTCCTCACCCCACATAGTCTCAATCTTAAAATCTATTGTCTTAAAAGTTAAGATTGTGAGCAATTCCTGAAAACTCTTAAATTCAGTCTTAATTTGGAGTCCTGTAGCTTGCAAGCGAAAGGCCAGGGCTTGATTCCCGGCAGGGTGAAAACTTGGGCAAGTTTCCTTACTCCACACGCCTGATAATAATCCCTCAAGAAGAAAAAACAATAATAAATTGGTCACTTCAATCCACAACTGTTTGTGGGACACTGCTGTGCGCAATCGGCTGCTACGTTTTACCCACAAATATACAGTCAATTCACTTTACAGTATATTCTGTGAAGCGCTTTGAGACCTCTAGAAGACTTGAAAAGTGCTTTATCAAATGCAAGGATTATTATTATTCATTTACAATCCAATTTTCCTCAAAAGGGAGTGTGACAAACTGTCAGCTTTTGGTTAAAGAATTTCGAATTTGCACAATTTAAAAAATTTAAGTCTGTGCTATTAAGGCTAAGATTTGAGGAAACCCTGGCCTCATTAGTTCACAAGAGAAACTTGGAGTAACATGGCCTCTGACTTTCCTTTATTATTCATTATATTTTTAGCCTCTATTGGCTATCTCACAACTCACGCAAAGATCAAGACTCAATAAATCAGGAGCTGAATTCACATCCAAGTTTGATTGCACTCTTGCAAAGTATTTTCCAATTACAGGTTTAATTTTGGAACACAAGCATGGCCAGGTTAGTTGAGAGCTCCTCATTTCAAAGCAGTCAGGATCCCGATGAAATGTCAATCGCTAATTTGGGTGAAAATTTCAAAAAACGCTTTTGTTTTAGCATTGATGAATGGCAGAAAAATCCAGGCAAAAGAGTGGAAAAAGAATTTAACGTGAAATAGTAATTAGAAACAGAGATCTTGAACATGAACTTTCCTCAATTTTACTCGTGGATGAAATCATTGCCCGCTGCAGCTTTGGACCATACAGACTAGAAAGTCACAGGGTCAAAGCTTGGACTGTACTGATATAGTTCATCTCAGTTGGGGCTGGGTTTTGAGTGCTACAATTGGCCACAGTACTCCTTGGATTAGGGAGGGAAAATCAGGGTTCCTGTTCATTATCACTATCCAGAGACTCCTGGTGGAAGGTATACAAGTGTGGATATCAAGTGAGGACAAGATCTAAGCTGCGATGCTCCCCTGTTGTCAAACTGCGTGCTCACTGTCAATGCTCACATATGGTTAATGGCCACTTGGGAGAAGTCCTGAAAGTGCACCATGTAACTGATCTCGGTGAAAGAGAAAAAAAAAAGGAGTCAATCACCTTCAAGAGAGCAATCCGGCGGGGGAAAAGAAAGAAAATCATGAAGAAGGGGATGGAAAATATGCCATAAGAGACAATAGGGAAATAGACGAGTCGGGAGATCATATTTTCCCCTAAGAATTGTCCAATGTTAAAAGGCAAGAAACATAGAACCCACGTTCAGACAAGCTACTGCACAAACAAACTGCGTTACCTTCCAGCAGCCAGGAGGTCAAACTCATTCTGTTTCCAGCCAAACTGCAATAAAACATAAACCTTTACAGTATGTCACTAAAATTAATGAAAATGGAAATGCATTCAAAGTTATCATTTAACTTGGAAACCGCAACGAGAACAAAAGAAAGTTTGTTGACCTGATTAGACAGAATAATACAGCCAGCAAGTCAATGCATCAATGCAAATTGGGGGCACAGATTGGCATTACATAACAACGGTCAAAGTGAGTGAACTGCTCTGGCAAGTTTCAACTAGAGAAGGCTCTATAACAAACTCGGAGATTATAACAACCATTTTCCAACTGGGTTAAACCAGAGCTGTTTACAATTTTGGAGATGGCGTTTTTACATCCTTATAGGAAATAAAAATTGTAATTTTTTCTCAATCATCCTAGAATCATCCAAGTTTTTCTCAATCATCCTAGAAATCTTCACCACTGGGATTAGAAGAGACAGAGTGAACCGGCTAGTTGTCTTCATACAGCGGTCAGAGAAATGCTCAGAAAAAAGAACAAAGACGAATAGAAAGTAGGGGGGGGAAAATATCACCGATGAAGTTGTCAGGACTAACTGCAAAACAACACAACGAGAGCACCTCGCTGCCAGTCCCAGATTGAAATGTCAAAATTTGAGCCACTCTATTTCTCTCATGACGCCATTTCCACCCAGACTTCGCCAGAGAAGGCTGCAAAGGAGCCAGGTTACGCAAACTATTCCAGTTCAAATTTTTTTTATATTGCAATGGAGGACAAAAAGAGCCTCGAGAGAAAACACTGCTTTTCGAACGGGTGAACGGAAATGTTCTAATTAGTCGTTCTCTTCCCTTCCGTACCAAAATCTCTGCCGTTAGCTGAGTAGAGGGCCAGAAATAGGAAGGCAAAAGATTCAAAAAGAGAACAATGTGCCCAATAGATGTACCCTGTGGCCACACACAGCTGACGGCGGGAGGTCCAAATTGCAGTGTAAAGATGTGGTCAGAAAGCCAGACAACACGAACAAATGTTTCCACAAACGCTGGAAAGACAACCACCTGAGTAAAAAGCCTCCAATTAAAACAAATTAATGGACAGACGTCTCACAATCATTTAGTGAGCGTAAGGCTTCTAGTGGAGTCCTGCCATAAGATTGTGGCCAGGGCAACGGAGGTTTCTCGTTAACAGAGATGGAATTAAACAACCCTGGGCAAGGTCGAAGAAGGAAGAGACAATACCTTTCAGACCTTGAAAACAGAGCTTGAAAGTACCACCGTTCTACTTCCCCCACCCCAATTTGTGGATGTACTGCCTACCAGAAGCAGGGCTTGGAAAGGGATGGTAACATGGTAACATCCCACTCCCCCACTACCAAGTTGGCAAACTTCCCACTTAATTAAGGTTTTGTAACAAAGCATTGTAAATCAGAGCAACCAAACCAATCATCTTAAAAAGCATGCAGGATCAAGCTAAGGTTTCAATGAGCCATTGGGGTATGACTGGGTGGTCTAGAGAACAGAATTGCCCTTGAAAATCTGATCCGGTTACATTCAGATCCCACAAGGGATTGTTAAGAAATCCCTCTTCTCCTCCAGTTGCCCACAAGGCTGAGGAAATGCCACAGACTTGCTTTGAGCAACGCAAGACATCTTTGTGAAATCATCCCTGAGGAGATGCTTGCTAAGCTGCTGCTTTAGAAGTACTGCCAGCTCCCTGATGAATCTTCCCGAGGCTGCCAAACATAGGCCGGCGGCTTAGTTGGTACTGGGACAGACGTTTTGCTTTTGATTCCGAGACTGAAAGGGGTGTGCTTTTTTTTTAAAAAAGGTTATAACACTCTACCCACGAGGGAAAACAAGTAGCCTTCAGTCATGAATTAATTCCTGAGTGACAGATCGCTGGCCGGTGGGATTTTTCCTGAGATGGAATTGGGCTGGAAGCTTTGGTTTTGATTATAATCCTGAAAGGGGTGTGTTTTTTTTTAAAAAAAGTTACAAAACTATACCCACAAAACAAATAGCCTTCAGTCCTGAAGTAATTCCTGAGTGACAGATACCGGCTTGGGGAGGAAGGTATGCAGGAGATTTTGTGTTTCTTAAAATATATTTTAAAAAATCCTTTTGGGTTACCAGAGAGGGTGGCTGGCTTCTTAATTTCTTTTTTTTAAAAAACTAAGTTACAACAGGTGGTAAAGAGAGAAAGAGCCACAAACACAAACCAGAAACAAGAGCACTAATTAAGTGTGCAGCAGGGAGCAGGCGCACACTCTGCTTCTTGTCCTGTGGAAGGAGCCCAGACGACCGGTGACAGGCAATGATGCTGGTATTTATAGCCAGGGCCTCGGGGCTCCTGTTCTTCTTCCACAATGTCCATGTTTCCCCTTCTTTGATGTGTCGTTCTAACTCCAATGGTGAAGCTTCCTGTGCGGATCGAATGAGACAAAGGGAGAGGAGGGAGAGAAAAAGACAGAGAGAGAGATAGAACTAGAGATGAGAAGTGTTTGTGTCCAGAACTGTTGTTGTGACTGTTGTGCCACTTCTAAACCTGTGTTTTTTCTCAACGCTCCTTGATGCCCCAGGTAACACAAAGCAGATCAGAGCTACTTCAAACAAGGCAATGCACACTGAGCAAGCACATAGAAGTTGGGACGGAAGGAAGGGGGTTGTGAGGTAACAACACTGGCGACGACACTGAACTCGGTAGCTGGGAGATATGCAAAGCGTTGCAGACTATGAGCTTATTAACTTCAAAGCCAAAGGAGGCAAGCAGGAGCCAGACAAGGAGGCTGTGCCCCTTCGGGTGGGGAGCTAATCAGAAAAAGCTGGAACAGAATGCCAGTGTGGGGGAGTTGAATAAGGGTGTGGGCTGGACATGAGAGGAGTAGAGGGGATGATAGGACAATAAGTGATCATGTAGGCATGGTTCTAAAGGCTTACTGGGCTACCCAGCGTAACCAAAAATAAAACCTCAGAAGGCAGTAATTATAATGCACTTCCATCATAAATAAAGGAAAAATAATATTTCTCAGCACTTTTCCCAAAGAAAGGAATCAAGACACCCGGCTAACCCCCAAAATTGGAAGCCTCTCTTCCATATGGTACTGGGGACCTGTCTCCTTGTCCAATCTGGCTATATTTTGCAGCTTTATGGAGTTCAGAAGGGTGTCTGGAATCCCCATGCTTGGCTATTGTTTTACCAATTATTGGTACTGAACATTTGTGAGTCTGGGAAGCTGCTGAGCTTTTCCACAGATCTTGCTCCCATTTTGCTCAACAGAGGTGCTCTGGCCTCTCCAGGAAACACTCCACACTGGAACAGCCTAGGGCAGACCTTGAAATGACTCAGATAATGAACGATGCTGGAGTGAGCCTTACCGTATGGATGAGTGGCCCGAGAACAACACCACTGTCCACGCATCGGCCGGTCACAACAATATCAGCTCCCAGATCGAGAGCTCTGCTGATCGGCCCTGCCCTGTGCAAACAGAAGTTTAAACAGACTCATTCATCACTGCAGCAAATGGAATGAGCCACACATATTGCTCCGATAAATAATAAGCCTTTCATTTGATATGGCACCTTATCACTTTGTTAAGACGTCAAAGAGCTTCATTGGATACACTGCAAAATGTAGTAACTGGGTATTTTGTAGGCAAACACTAAAGCCAATTTGCACATAGCAATTTCCCACAAACAGCGATGAAGTGAATGACTAATTTTATTTTGGGAGATTGTCTGCAAGGACACCAGTAGAAACTTCTTTCTCTTTTCAAATAGTGCCCTGGGATTTTTAATGTACAGGACATCTAATGTTCACCTGAACAGGCACACAAGGTTGAAATTGCTGTAGTTTCAAGTCTCAACTGAAGGATAGCAACTCTGACAATGCTACACACTCCAGCGTGGCACTAAATGCAGTGTCAATGTGGACTGTGAGCTCAAAGTCCCAATGTGAGGCTCAAACCCACAACCTTAGACACAGAGCCAAGAGCGCTATCAATTGAGCCAGGCTGAAACCTATTTAGCTGGTGTTTTCCGAGCAGGATTAAAGGTGAGGCTACAAAAACAAAACTTCTTTGCACATAAAGTGGCTAGAGTTCTCTCCCACAAACCACGATTGAAGCAGAATACATAATTCGTTCTTAAAGGGGAATTGGACACGTGCTTGCAAAGAGGAATATTAATGAGTAAGGGAACCTCGCAGGAGGGTGGTAATAGATTAAGTGGCTCATGTGGTGAAAAACACAAAGATTTGATGAGCTGAGCAGCCTGTTTCTGTGCAACATTCCATAACAAAAAGAACAAACTTGCTCAGCTGGTTTTACGCTGGACAATTGCTATCAGTTTATTAAACAGATCACAAGATCGGTTTGGATAAAGAGGAACTTCATGGCTGAAGCCCATCTGATTTCATCCCTGCTGTCCCTCCATCAGGGCATTAAACTGCTTTTTAAAATCAGTCCTGTATTCTGACCTCAACCAGGCTTCCTGCTAACCTGTTACAGTCTTTAATTATTCTCTGAGTAAAGATAAACTTCCTGGTATCTGTTCTCAAATTGCCCTTTATGACTCTACATGTCCCCTTGTTCTACTGTTTTGTTGCATCCTAAAGTATTGTTCTAGGTTTACTTTTTCAATCCAGTTTAAAATTTTATTTACCTCTACAAGGTCCCCTGAGTCATCTTCTCTCAACACTGAAGAGCCCTAGTTTGTCTAATTGTTGCTCATAGTTCATAATCCTTCCAACACTGGGATCATCCTCATTGCTCATCTCTGCACTATCTCTTGGATCTGGGCAGTTCCCTTATGTAACTGTGATCAGAACTGTATGCAGTATTCAAGATACCTTCTGACTAAAGCACTGTACAGTCCGAGTATGACATCTGTTTGCCTTATTTATTGCTGCTTCACACTGTTTTTTGACTAAGTGAACGAAGAATCAACTAACAATCCTGGATCTCTTTCAGCTTCCCTCTTGGCAAGTTCTATCCCATCCACGGAGCACTTTTGTTCCCTATTCTTGCATCCTGCGTAGTACCCAGCATTGTAATCAGCCCATGTGCATACCCGATCAAGCTCTCTTTGTAAGACCTTTGCTGCCCCCTCTAATTCCACAGTTCCCCTCCCCCATCCCAACTTGATCAGCAAATCTTACATGGGATCTGTAATTTCAAGTCACTAATAAATACGAGGAACAGGAGGAGCCCCAGTACAGTAAGCCTCATTGAGGGCGTGGGGGTTGGCATTGACTGGAGGAGTTACACAAGGATTAATTCTGGGTGAAACATTTGGCAATATTATAAGATGTTTAGCCAAGCAATTACATAATATGGAGATTATTATTATTATTTCAATGCATTCAAGAAGTACCTGACCAATTGAAGATTGGGTTAAGGAAGGGCAGATAAATACATATATTGAGAAAGAAGTGTACACAAAGAATTATATCATTAGTAAAGTCAAGGAGGAGAAGGATTTGGGTGTGATTATTGTTAAGTCACTAATGCTGTGAAGGCAATGTGATCCTGCTGTCAACAAAGCTGATCAAATACTAGGTGATAGCTTGAGGGCCTTTAACTATTGGTTAAAACAAATAAATTAAATAAATTTTCAATATATAACTCACTGAAATATCCCATGTAGTTTTGGCTACCAGTTTTCAAAAGGGCATTGATGCGCTCAAAAAATCTGTCACTACAATTTAAACTAAATCCTGTGAAGTGCTTTGAGACGTTCTGCTGACATGAAAGCGAAAGGATTATTATTATTATTAACAATAATACTCTTACTTACTCAGCACCTTTCAGACAGTTCAATATGGTGAGAACCTAGCAGGGTGGGAGATAATGAGGCTGGTGAGGTGAGATGACTAAAGGTACAGTCAAAGAGGATAATTCCAGAAAGAAGCAACAATGATTACAACAGTTAGAGTTCCAAGTTATGAGAGGATTGCAAGAAGACTGGGATGGAACAGGAGTCTGGTGGCACACTCTGACAATGGTCTGATATTGCACAAAAATGTACAGAAATGCTAAGTCCAGCCATCATTTAAAGAGTCTCTTTTTATACCTGCAGGACATTTATATACCTCTTTGAGACTGTCCTCGCATCAATTTTCAGCCAGGCTAAAATGAGCGTCAGTTAAGAGTTAATGAACGAAAGTGAAACCTCATTCCACATTGCATTTTAGTGTCACACATGTGGTTTGAGAAATTTGGGAAAGTACTTGAATTACATTTGCATGAGGTTATAGTTATTCAGCATCAGACTATTTTCTTGCTAGTTTTTCATTCTCTGATCCTGGCTCTTCATACCAAGAATAGGAAACTCTGCCTCAACCACAGATACAAACTAGGACAGTTATGAGCCAAAGAGGTTTAGACATATATATTTTTTAAAAATCATGGTCACTGTTATAGACATAAAAGTATTAACATTTTTTATAAATATAAGCATTATATAAATTGGAATCATTTTGAGACGTCTCAACGACGTGATGAGGCTCTATACCAAATGCAAGGAATATTATTATATTATTATAAATAAAACAAACATATCACTTCAATTTGACAAAGGAGATTAAAAGTCTGGTAACAGCAAATGGAATGAATACCAAATGTGGCGCATTTGTTAACAAGCACATTTAAAATACACTGACAGGACGAACAACAGGGTAAAGAGATGGAACAAAGACAGAAGTGACCATAACATAAGGAACAGAGACATAAGTCAGACTCATTTGTGATCCAAAATATACGGATAGGGATAAAGAATAGGGAGCAAGAGAGAATCGGGGCACTTGGGGAAAGGAGTTGAAATATGTGTCGGGAACAGCTGATCGATGAGAGGTTTCAATAGATCTCAGGCAGTGTCGGTTTATTGAGGCTCAGTAGTTATCGTATAAGATAGTGAGTTGTGTTCAAGTTCTTCAGGCTCAGTAATTGTTAAAGTATACGATGCTTATTGTACTAAAGTTCTTCTACTACTTGTACTGTTCTTGCATTGTTGTGCTGTATTCGGGAAATTCTGTTTTTACAGTGTAACTTGAGGAATAAAGAAGAATGGTCTATGATAAATAAAATGTTGTGCATAGTTCTTGAGTTCGCTCTGACTGGACCCATACCCCCCTACCCCCCACCCCCGAGGAATGAAGGATTGTGACTTTCAGAGTGCACCTGAAAAGACAAGTGTAATTCACTCGACGAATGGCTTCTCCTCCACCCCCCGGTACTGTCTCATGTGGAGTCCCTCAGGGCTCTGTCCTCGGTCCCCTCCTCTTCACCCTCTATATGCTCCCCCTTGGTGACATCATCCGCAGACATGGAGTTAACTTCCACATGTATGCGGATGACACCCAACTCTACCTTTCCTCCTCTACTCTCAACTCCACGACCACCGATGTCCTGACAGCTGCCTGTCCGACATCGAGTCCTGGACGAGAGACAACTTTCTTCAGCTCAACGTGCGAAAAACTGAGACCCTCCTGATTGGTTCACGTCAGCGCCTCCGCACCTCAGGCGCTGACAGCATCAGCATCCAAGGCTGCACTCTCCACCTCTCAAAGCCGGTCAGGAACCTCGGCGTTTTGTTCGACCCTGAGCTGTCCTTTCTCCCTCACATCCACACCACAACTGGCACCGCCTTCCATCACCTCCGGAACATCGCCAGACTACGGCACTACCTCACCCCTCACGCTGCTGAAACCCTGGTCCACGCCTTTGTCACCTCAAGGCTGGACTATGGGAACTCTCTCCTCGCCGGCCTTCCCGCCACCTCCCTCCACAAGCTGCAGGTCATTCAGAACTCTGCAGCTCGTGTACTGTCCCGCACCAGGCTTCGGGACCACATCACTCCCACCCTCGCTCGCCTCCACTGGCTCCCCATCCCCCAGAGGATTGATTTCAAGATCCTCATCCTCACCTACAAGGCCATTCACGGCCTTGCTCCCTCCTACCTCTCCGACCTACTATCCCCCTACCTACCTGCCCGTACCCTCCGTTCCTCTGGCTCCGGTCTGCTCCACATCCCCCGCCCCAACCACCCTACCATTGGTGGTCGGGCCTTCAGCCTCAGCCCCGAGGCTCTGGAACTCTATCCCCCAGTGCCTTCGCCTTGCTTCCTCCCTCTCCTTCAAGGCCGGTCTCAAAACCTTTCTCTTTGACCGAGCCTTCAGCTCCCCTCTCGACTCTCTTCCCCCTTCTCGCTCCCTCCCATCCCTCCCCTCACCCTGACCATTTCCCCCCTCCTCGCTCCCTCCCCTCCCCTCACCCTGACCATTTCCCCCCTCCTCGCTCCCTCCCCTCCCCTCACCCTGACCATTTCCCCCCTGCTCGGGTCATGACCCAACTGTGCAGCGCCTTGGGACGTCCTCCTGACGTGAAAGGCGCTTTATAAATGGAATCTTGTTGTTGTTGTTGATTAGAAAATATATAGAGTACAGTGACAGCATGAACTTAATTCCTCTAAAGTGAGTTTTCCTATTAGTCCAAATCAGTCTCGGGTCAAAGGAGAGAAGCAATGCAATTGATGTATTTTGGAGAGTTATGAGTGGAACCCATTACATTATAAACCTATCAACATTAAAAATAAGATGTTTTTGAGATGCTATCTTATGCGAAAGCACCTATACAAGTACAAATTGTTGTTATTGCTGAGAAATTGTGTTTAAAATATGTGGTAGAAAAGGAACAATTCATTCACAATGAATTGTGGTGCAACAAATATTTCCACCCACACGGTAATGATAATAATAAACCTTGCATTTTGTTTCACCCACAAAATACAGTCACTACACTTTACGGTGTATCCTGTGAAGCACTTTGGGATGTCTCAATAAGGATAAGGGGATAAGGGGCTATATCAAATGCAAGGATTATTACTATATTATTATTTGAAACGACCTTATCACGTCGATGAGACATCTCAAAGCCCTTTACAGGATATAATGTGGCACAACTTTGTGTATTTTGTGCGCAAGGCACTCAACATGCAACTATTTCAATGATTCCGTCACCTTACCTGTGAAACTATTCATTATCACTGAATGGTGAATCAATCATCAATCCCCCCCCACAAGAGCTTTACTTTTTCGAACAAGCAATTTAACTTGTAACAACCAAGAATGTGGAGAAAGCTATTTGGTAATCTCCCTGAAGCCCACTGTGGAAATACGATATTCTTTTTTCCACAAATCGGGGACCACACATGTGCTCAGTAAATAGTTATTTTTGGATCTGCTGAAATGTTAGACATCGAAAAAAAGGGAAGCGGTGTTACTGGTCTTTGCTAATGAGAAACAAATGTCAACACTTCAATTGATTCCCTTCCTCTGAAGCCACCTACTTGAAGGTAGTTCAAGAACTGACAGGATAACCATCCAAGGATGCGCACTTCGCCTCACTGAGCCAGTCCGTTTAACCCTCAACTATTCTTTCTACCTCACATCCATGCCGTGATCCGCTCTGCCTTCCCCACTTCCACAACATCGTCCGGCTCTGCCAGTCTCGGACCGCAGGCCGCCGAGACCCTCATACACGCATTCATAATATCCAGGCTTGACTATGCAAATTCCCTGCTTGTTCGCCTCACCAATTCCTCCCTCCATAGGCTGCAGATCATCCACTCTGCAGAGTGTGGCCTCTCGCGCACCAGGCTCCGCGACCCTATCACTCCCATCCTCGCCCGACTCCACTGGCTTCGCATCACACAAGAGGATACAGTTCAAGATCCTGGTCCTCACTTTCAAATCCCATCTGCGCATGGAAATTCTAGAGATAAGATTGTTTAAATGGAATGCACGCTCTCTCCCTGGAGGGAAACATTCTGTTTATCTAATTCCGGAAAGTGTTAGGTGCAGGTTGGCAAGAGCCAAGGCATGGGGTTTGCAGAGTTTGCTGGGGTCCCCATCGCCATGCTCCTTCCTATCTCTGTGACCTGCTAACTCCATATCAACCTGTCCGCTCCCTCCGCTAAACAGACTCCGGCCTACTCCATGTCCCCAGCCCAGACTGGCCTGCCCCACCATCGTCAGTCAGGCCTTCAGCCTCTCTGGTCCCATCCATTGGAACTCCATCCCACAGTACCTGTGTCTTGATCCTTCCCTTGACTCCTTCAAAGCCTGTCTCAAGACTTTCCTCTTCGACCACGCCTTCGGTCTCCCTCCTACCCCTATCCTCCCTGCCATCCACCCCTCCTGATCCCAACCCCCTGCTCGGATCTAAATCCCTGAAGATACAGCACCTTGGGACATCCTCCCGACAAGAAAGACTCTATACTAATGTAATTTGTTGTTTTTGTTTGGGTACGACTGCAATCTAACCAGCTAAAATTGCATAGCTTGCCATTGTGAGCACTGCCTGGCAAGTTTTCCCAATGCTTGTCCAGCTAGGATCTTCCTACCTGTTAGGGCTTTGACTTGCAGAATTAACAGGACCTGAATGGAAAGAGTCCCTGCCCCCAATAGCTGGTCTGCCCTTCCAAGTCCTGCCGATGAGCCAGCATAACTTGCATGGATTTCAGATCAGCATTAGCCACTCACCCTAGATATGCATTCATGCTGTGGAGGCTGGCAGGGAAAGGTTGTCCACTCTCCATGTCTCTGGTGTCCGCTTCTTTCAGCAAATCTCTCTGGTAAAAGACAGAAAAATGAAAACACTTGTATAAAGCACTGCTAGCTGTTACAAGGAAATGGTTTGGCTCAAATTCAGACCGCAGTGGGTTTAGGCTATAAACGACAAAACTGAGCAACTCAAACAATAATAATAATCCTTGCATTTTGATGAGGCACTTTTCACGTCTTCTCGACGTCTCAAAGCACTTCACAGAATAGACTGTAAAGTGAATTGACCGTAGATTTGTGGGCGAAACGTGGCAGCCAATTGTGCACAGCAGTGTCCCACAAACAGTTGTGGATTGAAAATGACCAATTTATTATTGTTTTGTAGGGATTATTATTAGGCGTGTAGAGTAAGGGAACTTGCCCATGGTTTCGCCCTGTCTGGAATTGAACCCAGGTGTCTCACTTGCAAGGCAAGTGCTCTAACCACTGAGCTACAGGACTCCAATAGTACCTCATCATTAATACCTGGTATTGTACTGTCACTGGATATAGCTACCATCGCTTATTCTAGATCTTAGTAACTTCACAGAAATAATAGCTCATATTAGCATGTGCAAATAGCCCCAAAGGATCTCCCAATCTAATTTCAGAGAATGAGAATAGCACCTTTGACATATGTATGGCATTGTCACTTACTGAACATACTCCAGTGAAGCATTGTTCTACTCTGCTAAGGAAGTACAATTATATTTCACTGAGAATGTGATGGCACCCTTTCCGATAAGGTAGTGAAATACATTAAACAGCTGTGGGGCACCTGTCAAGTAACGTTAACTGATTTGTGAGCCTTGGCATCATATAAATCTTCAGCTACAAGCAATACAAGGGTGCAAACTGTGGAATATTAAGCAGAAGAGACTGTATGAATTTGTTGAAGGTGTCCTCATGAAAATTGCTGTAGTTTGTGTGTACCTGCGGCATTAGATCATCTCCTGTCACAACTGCAATCTTCAAGTCCACGTCTGCTTTCTTAACTACCTCCTGCAGAGCAGCAGCACACGCGTGTGGGTTCACACCACCGGCATTGCTAACCACCCGGATACCTCAAAACAAGAGAAGGAACAATGGCCCTTAGTCTTTTGGGGTTTTCAGCGTTTGCAAAAAGTAAAAATATTTTAACAGAATGTATTTTCATTTCTAAATGAACAATGAACCAAAAATGACCCCCTCCTCCCACCCACAAATACATCCACATCGGCTAAGATCATCACAAACCTTCCCCAGTTTGTGCAGCTCAGCTACTCATTCAATAAACTCGCTGAGGCATCGGATAGTGCCTGTGCTTTGTTGGGGCTGGGTTTATATTGTTTTACAACGTTGAGGGAGCAAATCATTTCCACCAAGGACAAAAGAATGGTAGAATTTATCAGCACATGAGGTAGCCATTCGGCCATGATGCCCCCTATAAAAGCAATCTCTTTAGTCCCACTCCATTTCTTATTGTTTGTTTGAAGTTGAGACCGGATCAGTGAGATGGGGCCCTTTTTAATGAGGTAGTGAAACGCCTTGCACAGCTGTAGGAGCTTGTCCTGTGCGAGAGCTTTAAGTAGAGTTGTGGTAATTATTGAGCTGGTAGATTAAATAGAGGAGAGCACTGAGGATGATCTCCAGTGTTAGAGGAATGAGCTATGAGCAATGTTTAGACAACCTCAAGCTATTCAGTCTTGGAAGAAGATGACTCAGAGGGCACCTCCTAGAGGTATATAACATTTTAAATCGAACTGAAAAAGTAAATAGATCAATACTTTGAATGCACCAAGGAAGTAGAACAAGGGGGCATAGGTTTAGAATTGCAGTAAGCCTTTTTTTTACTCAGAGGATAATGAGTAATACATACATACATTCTGGGTGATGAATGTATGGAACTCACTACCCCAAAGGACTGTTGACGCTCAGTCCTTGAACATATTAAAGACTGAGATAGATAGATTTCTTATTGCAAATGGGATTAAGGGATATGGGGATAAGGCAGGGTTAGGTTATTAGCTGGAGTTAGATTAGAAGATCAGCCATGATTGAATGGCGGGGCAGGCTCGAAGGGCCGAATGGCCTACTCCTGCTCCTACATGTTATGTTATGTAATTAACTGGAATAGGTTATCAGCAAGGATGGTTAAGACGAGGACACTGGACCAATTTAAAAAGCACCTTATTGCTGTGATGGGAGGACAATAGCATGGGTATTCTGGGGGGATGAGATCAGATAACTGAACTTCAGCTAAACCAATCTTGTGATTCCTGGCACCACTTCATTGAAAGTTGTGAACACTGCTCTATAAGCAAAGAAGATCATTTCCAGTGTTGGATAGAGAGGCAAATGAATCATTATTGGACAAAAGGATAAAGCTAGGAGAAGAAATTAAAATTACAATTTTATAGTGCCTTTCATAACAGAAGGACGTCCCAAGGCTTGATATTCCTCCAACCCAAAATTAAAGTTGCCAACGTGAAGGAAAAAATGCTTCCCACTTCTGTCCAGTTTTATTCAATTATATTCTGTATTAGAACATTTTAAAAGAAAACCAAACCTTTTACAAATGTTAAATGGTATAAAGTTGCATTTTGAAAGCTTCCAATACCCAAACATTTGCTTTTATTCTCAAGCCCAGTGAATTATTATTTTTATTTTAGGGATCAAGGAAGCAGGGCATTGGCGAGAGATTTTTCTGCTTAAAAAGAAGCGGCTTACAAATTAAGCCACAATTAAAGAATTTTCCCAAAACTGAGAACATGTTAAAATTTAAAACAATAGTTTGAAATCTAAGATCATGAAGAATTTGGTGAAGTGGGTTGCTAGTTACCAATTTGATATAACGCAATACGTCAATTACTCCATTACCTCTTTTGTGAATATCTTTGATAAACGGGGCCATCGCAACCTGCACAAAATCAGGTGCATAGCCATGATCCTGAAACAAAGAGAAAATATTGTAAGTTTCTTCTCTACTATTTGCAATGGATCAGAAGAAGTTTTTTTTTAAAAAAGGTTCAATTTTCCTCAAAAAGTCCCTGCATGATGATGCTCTACAATGAGCACAAGGTCCCACACGATCTATGTCAGACTCATAGATGAAAAGGTCTTTGGTTGCGTGAGCTATGTGGAGAATTATAGGCATTTGTGGTGCTTACAGCTGGAAGAGTTGCTACTGTCAGGACAGATGCAGGAGGGGATACTGTTCCAGTTCTTTAGTAGGGATGCAGCACTGTTTCTCTGACCTCCTGAGGAATGGTATTGCTATACTGCTACTGTTCTGGGAGCAGATCACATGCACATCTTCCCAACCATGGGAAACGGTGTGTGCATGTGTGGAGGTGCGACTCATTGAGCATTGTATGAAGAGAGAGATTTCGTGCCCTTATAATATACTGTGTATGTAACAAAATATACAGTCAACTCACTTTACAGTATATCCTGCAAAGCGTTTTGAGATGTCTTGAATAAGGCGCTACATAAAATACAAGGATTATTATTTTTTATTATTATAGCAAGCAGTGCTATGAACACATGCAACAAGGAGTACTACAGGGTGAAGTGGTTACAACAGGGTTTTTTTTTGAATCAATAACATTTTTAGACACAGAGATGTAAAGTATCTGAAAAAAAAGGCTGTTGGTCTGGCTTCTGGTTTATGAGGTTGATGCTGATGTCATGCCTAGTTTCCCGCCATGTGTGAAGCCAGCTGGTCACTTACATTTAATAATAATCCTTACATATGATAAAGCACCTTTCAAATCAAGTCACTTCGAAGCACCTCAACAGGATTTACTATCAAATATAGTGACTGTGCATTTTGTAGGCAACCCTCCTCCAACAATGAATAGTGTGCAAAGGCTATGCAGCCCAACGAGTGGATGTGAAAGGTGCATTCCCAAGGTTTCAGTGGAAGGTATCAGGGCAGCATTTTGTGGAGACTGTGAGGGAGGGAGGCCTTGGTCAAACCCCCCACCGGAAACACTAGTAGCCCGAGTGGGGGGGGAGGGGCCTTAGTCAGGATACCTAATGTCCTGGGGGGCCTTGAGCCCAGAAAATTTGGAAATCATTATTTTACAGTATATCCTGTGAAGTGCTTTGAGACAGTTTGACATGATAAAGCGCTAAACCAATTGCAAGATTATTATATATATTCACATACACTGTACACTATATTGCACTGTATTCCAAACCTCCCTCTCATCAAAGGGGCTATATAAATGGAAGTAGTTTATGTCGACTGTGCTGGAAATATCACTGAAAAAACGCCAAACCTTTTAATAGTGAAGGTAAACACTCACAGGTGATTTGGCTTTTGCTGCAGTGAGCAGCGACATGGTGATCTCAGACAGGTAATCAAAGACCAGGAAATCCAGGTTCCCATCAAACACCAACTGTGGAACTGAGAGAAACAAGTGTAAGTAAAATCTCATTAACACCCACATCGGTCAAATTGCACAAAATAAGAATAACCATTGAATTCGATCCAGCACCTTTCACATCGGGGAGGACGTCTCAAAGAACTCCACATGCTCACTGTAAAGTGCATCAACTATTTATTTGTCGACAGAACGCAAAACACATTCAGCGTTACACCTCCGAAATTACCCTCTAACTAAAAGGCTTCTTCTCTTTCTCCTATTATAATGTACTGCCTGCATAGGGTCTAACTGATACTGCCCAACTAGATCAGAGCTTCAGCCCAGTCAAGCCTGAAGATTTCAGAAACTCGTTGACTACCATTTCTGTGTGTGGAAGCCAAATTCTCTAAACTTACTCCTGGGACACTTCACTAACTCGTAGTTAAGGAACACGTTTTGAATTAATTCACAAGTAGTTCAGCTTGGAATAATTGGACCGAATGGCCTGTTTCCATGCTGTATCGTTCTATCTAATTCATATTGAATCTGGCCAGCGTTCCCTGAATAAACTCAGAGAACTATTTTCAGCATTTGAAATCCAAAACCTGTGACTTTTTAACTGGTTTGAGTTCTAACATTACAACTGTTCAGAAATCGAGGGGTTATTTCAAAACACATTCCAATTATTAAATTAGGAATACTGCAATTTTCGGCCCATTCACTTAATTTTGACTGTATTAGTTCCAGTAATTCCAGCAATAGTAATCACAGGAAATAATATGGTCAATACATTATAAAGAAATGCAATCACTAGATTGAAGACAAGAAACTTATGTTGCAAGAATTCAGTAACATTTCAATTCCACACTCCCTTGATAGGTTCCACACATCAAATCCCACCTCAGTGACCCCCACAACACTGAGTTAACAATAACAGAAGTCGCTGGGAACACTCAGCAGGTCAGGAAGCATCTGTAGAGAAAGGAAAGTGTGGCAACGTTTCGGGTCCACGACCCGGTTTGACGAAGGGTCGTGGACCCGAAACGTTGACTCACTTTCCTCTCTCCATAGACGCTGCCTGACCTGCTGAGTGTTCCCAGCGACTTGTTTTTGTTTCAGATTTCCAGCATCTGCAGTATTTTGCGTTTTGTGCTCTGAGTTAACAATAATGTAATGTTATGATGCCACCCTGTGGTCATTACGCAAAACAGAAACTTTAAACTTGAACAACGCTCACTAAAGTCAGCTGACAGAGTTCTGTGTAGAAATCATTGCAAAGAACCGAAAACGAACCAGCACGAATTTAAGCCCAGAAAACACAATATGGCTGAAATCTAACAGGATCCAACTTTTGAACATCCAGGCAGACACATTAATACCCTTTTGAGCATAAACGAGTTTTCATTTATTTTGGTGCACCTTTTCAAAAAAATATTTACAGCTATTAGATAGATATTAGTGTGTGTTTTGCTAGTGTAGCGGATTGAAGACATTTGTATTACAGGACAATTTCACGGTTAAACTCCTTGCAATTTTTCTCCTATATCAATTCAGTCCATCATCAAGTGTAAATACTGTAGGTTGACGTAAGTCACAAAGGATGCTCAGCACGGCTCTAAAACCAATGCACAATGCTTCCTCTTCTTATTTGTTATTTTCTGTATCAGCTTGTTCACACGATTGCTTGTGTGTTCATTAGGAGATTAACCCAAGTTGTTAAAATAGACCACAACATGAGCTCATATTTAACCTTCTTACTCTCAATATACCATAATACAATAACTTGCATTTATATACCGACATTCACTTGGGGCAGAATCTCGGAGTGCTTTCCGAGTGCTTTAGTAACCAGCGATTCATTCTCAGTCTAAATCTTAGGTTAAGTTTTCTTAAGTTGTTCTCTCCTGTGATCAGAATCGAGAACAGACAAGTGCAGCTTGGATTATGGAAGATCCTGCTAAATTACACCTTGACAGTCAAGTTAGTCATCAATGATTTGCATGGTAAGATTACAGAATAGATGTGTATGAAGCAATCCTTCTGCCATATACCACTCCAAGACATCCACTTCGCTGAAAGAAAATGTCAAACTTCTAGGATACAAACTTGACACAGGATTTAGATGACTCATGGATATGAAACAAAGACACTGCCTTTAAGATGAAATCTAAAATACAACCAATCCTGCAACTCCCATGGTGGCCCTGCGAGTTTATTCTGATTGAGGTAGATAGACTTAATTTTTTTAAAAAAACTAGCATCTAAACCCAAGCGTGCATACAGCCTTAAGCACATTCCCAAATGTCCTTTACGTTTTAGAATACATGCAGTTTTCTTTTTATTTGTATTATTATTATTTTTCTGCAACACACATTAAGATCTCAGAGTCTGTATAACAACAACAAAATTAAATTTACAGAGCGCCTTTCACGTCAGGAGGACATCCCAAAGTGCTGTACAGTCAGGTGTTGGGGCCCGAGCATGGGGGAGGCGTGGTGTAGGGGTGAGGAAAGGCAGAGGGGTGGGAGGGAGACTAAAGTCACGGTCGAAGAGAAGGATCTTGAGTCCGGCCTTGAAGGATGCGAGGGAGAAAGTGAGGCAAAGGGACTGTGGGATGGAGTTCCAGAGTGTGGGGGCAGAGAGGCTGAAAGCCCGGCCACCGATGGTAGGGCGGGTCGGGCAGGAGACATGGAGTAGACCGGAGCCTGATGAACAGAGGGAACGGGCAGGTTGGTAGGGAGTCAGCAGGTAAGAGAGGTAGGGGGGGCAAGGCCATGGATGGCCTTAAAGGTGAGGACGAGGATCTTGAACTTGATCCTCTGGGGAATGGGGAGCCAGTGGAGTCGGGCGAGGGTGGGAGTGATGGGGTCATGGAGCCTGGTGCGTGAGAGTACACGAGCTGCAGAGTTTTGGATGATCTGCAGCTTGTGAAGGGAAGAGTTGGGAAGGCCGATGAGGAGGGAGTTCCGGTAATCGAGCCTTGAGGTGACAAATGCGTGGGTGAGGGTTTCGGCAGCCTGAGGGGTGAGGCAGTGGCGGAGTCTGGCAATGTTACGAAGGTGGTGGTAGGCAGTGCCGGTCATAGCGCGGATGTGGGGGGAGTTCAGGATCAAACAAGATACCGAGGTTCCTGACTGGCTTAGTGAGGTTGCGTGAATATATATATATATATATATATATAAGTGCAAGTTGTTGTTGAAATCTGCAAAGTTACAATGTTATGATGCTGGAACTACAAAGTGATCAGATGAAAGCAAGATTGGGTTGAGAAATAATGCAAAGGCTTTATAGATTGTATTATTTTTAACACAGTCTGCAATGACTCAAGAGTCAGTCTGGCTTCATTGGCAGCTCTTGTGCTTCTGAGTCAGAAGGCTGTGCATTCAAGTCACATGTCGGGACTTTGAACTCATAGCTGAGGCTGACACTCCAATACTGATGGTAGAGTGCTGCAATATTGGAGATGAAATGTTCGAATGAGACATCTGTGCCTGTTCAGGTGTATATTAAAGATCCCATGGCACTGTTCAAAAAGCACAGGGAATTTCTCCCAGAGGTCTGGCCAATTAACCCCTGATAAAATTGGCCATTTCACTTCACGGCTCTGAACAAATTGGCTGCCTGGTTTGTCAATGAAATACAAAGTCAGTACACACCCAATGTGAAAGGCTCAATATTCAAATGCTAAGATTATTATTACTATTCTTCACAAGGCAACAAGATAAACTGCAAAATAAACGACGAGGAGAATAATCCCTTCCAAAAAAGAAATAAATCACTGAATCCACAACTGTTTGTGGGACACTGCTGTGTGCAATTGGCTGCTGCGTTTTTCGACCACAAAATACACAGTCGATTCACTTTACAGTATTTTCTGTGAAGCGCTTTATCGGGACGTCTCGAGTACGTGATAAGGCGCTGTATCAAATGGAAGGATTATTATTATTATCATCCTTCTTTCTATCCTGAAGGAGGATTTACTGTAAAGTACTTAATTTTAATCACAAACGCAGTTCACAGCAATATACCACAGCAATCCCATAAAGTGAGCAACCAATATTATTTGGGGTGGGGGGAATGGGGGTCTGTAAGCTACGACACTGGGAGAAACTCCCTTTTCCTTTCAACAACAACAACTTGGATTTATATAGGACCCTTCACACCAGACGGCGTCTCAGAGCGCTTTACAAAACGGATCCCGGGGACCGAGCCAGGGGGAGGGAGAGGAAGGTGATCAAAGGCGCGGTCGAAAACAAAGGTCTTCAGCAGAGACCTGAAAATAGGAAGAGAGGGAGCGAGGTGAAGGGAGTGAGGAAGGCAGTTCCAGAGTCTCGGGGCTAAAGGCACGGCTGCTGAGGGTGGAGCGGAGGACTCGGGGGACGATGAGGAGGCCAGACCCGGAGGAACGAAGGCAGCGGGTACTGTTTTGAGGAGAGAGGTCAGAGAGGTAGGGGGGTGCAGAGGAGCGCAGGGACATGAATACAAGGATGAGGATCTTGAAGTTGATCCTCTCTGGGATAGGCAGTCAGTGCAGTCTGGCAAGGACTGGGGTGATTGGGGAGCGGACTTTCGTGCGGGTGAGAATGTGGACGGCAGAGTTTTGGATGACCTGGATTTTGTGGATGGTAGCGGATGGGAGACCGGCGAGGAGGGCATTTGAATAGTCCAGCCGAGAGGTGACAAAGGCATAGAGGGTTTCAGCGGCTTTCGGAGAGAGGTATTGGCGGAGATGGGCGATGCATCGGAGGTGGAAGAAAGCGGTGCTGGTGAGGGACCGGATGTGGGGGAGGAAGGATAATTGGGGGTCGAACCTGACCCCTAGGTGCGTACAGGTTCGGAGAGTTTTAGGGGGAGGTCGGGTAGGTGGAGGAGGTGAGATCCGTGAGATTTTAGACATTGACGAGAGCCAGAGAGGTTGGCTTCCGTCTTGTCAACGTTCAGCTGAAGGAAATTCGCGCTCATCGCGGCAGCTCCTGATGTCTGACAGGCAGCTGACAGAACATCAGGGGACTGGGGGTCGCAAAGTGAGGTGGAAAAATAGAGTTGGGTGTCGTCTGCATACATGTGGAAGTGTACCCCATGTCTGCGGATGACATCCCCAAGAGGGATATAGATCAGAAAGAGGAGGGGGCCAAGGATGGATCCTTGGGGTACCCCGCTGGTGACTTTTAAATAGCGTCATGGGATTTTTAAAGTCCACCTGAACAGCCCCGCGGTGCTGCTGTTTGGCTGCATAACAATTCTGTGTGTAAGACGCCAAGCCACCCCTTTGGGGGAATCCTGGTCCAATTGGCCACTGGGGTGGGGGCGACGTGGAGCTCCACCATGAGTGTCAAAAGGCAGTTCAACCTGGCAAGAAGGCATCGACAGGGAAAGCTTCCATGGCTGGATCTGCTAACCAGTTGTGGGGCCCTGACCACACAAAGCACACCCCCCATCCCCATCCCCGCACTCACACACACCCCTCACCCACACCCCTTGCCAACCCCTTCCCTGCCAACCCCCACTGGCCCCTCCCCTGCCAACCACACTCCCCGCTAACCCCTCCCCTGCCAACCCCCGCCGCCAATCCCCGCTAACCCCCCCCTGCCAACCCCGCTAACCCCCGCCGCCAACCCCTCCCCTGCCAACCCCGCTAAGCCCCCCCGCCAACCCCTCCCCTGCCAACCCCGCTAACCCCCCCTGCCAACCCCGCTAACCCCCGCCGCCAACCCTGCTAACCCCCCCCCCGCCAACCCCTCCCCTGCCAACCCCGCTAACCCCTCCCCTGCCAACCCCGCTAACCCCTCCCCTGCCAACCCTCCCCTGCCAACCCCGCTAACCCCCCCCCCGCCAACCCCTCCCCTGCCAACCCCGTTAAACCCCCCCTGCCAACCCCTCCCCTGCCAACCCCGCTAACCCCCCCCCGCTAACCCCTCCCCCGCTAACCCCCCCCCCGCCAACCCCTCCCCCCTGCCAACCCCCCCCTGCTAACCCCTCCCCTGCCAACCCCCCCCTGCCAACCCCTCCCCTGCCAACCCCTCCCCTGCCAACCCCGCTAACCCCCCCCCCCGCCAACCCCTCCCCTGCCAACCCCGTTAAACCCCCCCCTGCCAACCCCCCCCCGCCAACCCCGCTAACCCCCCCCTGCCAACCCCCTCCCTGCCAACCCTGCTAACCCCCCCCTGCCAACCCCGCTAACCCCCCCCTGCCAACCCCCGCTAACCCCTCCCCTGCCAACCCCGCTAACCCCCCCCTGCCAACCCCGCTAACCCCTCCCCTGCCAACCCCGCTAACCCCTCCCCTGCCAACCCCGCTAACCCCCCGCCAACCCCCCCCCTGCCAACCCCGCTAACCCCCCCCCCCGCTAACCCCCCCCTGCCAACCCCGCTAACCCCTCCCCTGCCAACCCCGCTAACCCCTCCCCTGCCAACCCCCCCCTGCCAACCCCGCTAACCCCCCCCCGCCACCGACCCCTCCTCTGCCGCCCCCCCGCCCAGCCCAGCCCTGGCCCCTCACCTGAGGTGGCCGTGTCCCCCCAGAAGCCCGAGGCGCAGGCGATCCTGACGCTGCGCCCGGCGCCGCACAGCCCCCGGGCGCCGAGCCCTCGACAGTGGGGCCCGGGACCCCCCGGGGCCTGGATGGGGGCCGGAGCCCGAGCCCGAGCCCGAGCCCGAGCCCAGCCTCGCGCCGCCCGCTCCCAACGGCTCAGCATCGCAGAGAGGAGCCGCCGCGGCCAAACTCTTCCCCCCAATCCCTCGGCTTCACAGATGCGAGTGCAACCCCTTAAAACGCCCCCCCACACCCTCCCGCCCGCCCTCCCGCCTCCTTGGTTCCGCAGCGCTCCCCGGCACATTAACCACTGGGGGGCGGCCCCGCACCACCCCGCTCAGGTCGGGCGGATTCACGCCCAATGGGGCGTCTTGGGCGTCTTTTTCTTTTTTTAGTTGGAAAAACGTCGTCCTAATTTTTAATTCAGCCCTGAAAACGCCCCCTCCCCCCCCCCCCCACCCCCCCTCTCCCCTCTTTGAAGACATTTTCTTACACAGTTTCAAAAGCACTGCCCTATTATTGTTGCCCACACTCTCTCTGTACGAGGCAATGCTAAATATTGGGCTACTTTTGTGCTGGTATCTGGTTGACTTTGGGCTACAAACGTACAGTCTGTGCTGTACCTGTCACTTAATACTGGCAAATATAGTCATGAATCAAAGTATTTGCAGAAAAAACACTATCTTTCCACTTCAAGGACTGTTCCTCTTTTCTGTTGTTGTTGAGATTGGTTTGTTTTAGTGAAAAAAAAGGGAATCGGGTGGTTCAAACAAGGTATTTATTTTCTCTCTACTTTGTTTTTAGCAGAATTACAAAATAATATAACAATCCTTGCATTAGATATAGCACCTTATCACTTTGTTGTCAAGACGTCTCAAAGCGCTTCACAGGAATATACCGTAAACTGAATGGGCTGTGTATTTCGTGGGCAAAATCAGCAGCCAATTGCAATGTCCAGGGCGGAAACAAGCCGTGTGGTCCAACTAGTCTGTGTTGGCGTTTAAAGATATATAATTTAAATATTTAAAATATAGAATCTTTATTTTAATTATTAATTGATAATAAATAAGTAATCATGATTGTTTGCATACATAATTATATAAAATATAACACAATAATAAATTATATGTTCAATTACAAATATAAAATAGAAAATTATATACATAAATTTGTACATATCCTTTATTCCCTTCTTCCATGTGTATGTATCAAGTTTTTTCAAATACATTGGTTTTCTGCTTCAACCAATGCAAGGGGATAGAGAGTCTGTTTTAAATACTTAAAACAAACAGATGCCTTGATGTCTACAATGATATGTGAATGAAATGATGAATAAAATGGTTTTATATACACGAAGGGGATTCAACAACAACAACTTGGCTTTATATTGTGCTCCTCATGCTTGGTAGCGTCTCAGAGTGCTTCAAACCTCATGCAGATATTATTATTATCATTATATTAGTTGTCTTGCTGTTTTCTGTTTTCTGACAGCAGCTCTTCCTCTCCTGTTGTGTTCAACAATGATGAGAATTAAGAATTAGAAGTCACTCCTCTAATGAAGAGGTGTCATCATTATAGTTCATCATTTAATATGACTCTTTACATTTGAGAAAGTGCCTTTCATATTGGGAGGGTGTAAACGTCATAGATCGCAGATTCCATTCAAACATTCAGAGCCTTGTTTATTTTTAACAGTGCAGGTATTAAAATAAACGAAAATCCATGTAGTTGATAAGATTCCTTTCACTTTGGGAGGATGCCTCATGGCGCTTCATACGATTTACTGTAAACTTCAGTGACTGTATTCTGTAGGCAAACACAGCAGCCAATATTGCAACGACAATCTGCATTTTTATAGCAGCCTTCATGCAGGTAACACCTTAGAGCACTTAACAGTTGTGTGGTTTGATGCTGAGCTGAAAGGGGAGGGGAGGTGAGCGGTCAGAGGGGCAAGATGGAAGGCAGGGATTTCCTGAGACCGAGCCCGCTGAACAAAGGTGACCACTGTGTGTGTGTGGGGTGTGAGCAGATTAGAGAGGTATGGAAGTGCCAGGCCATTAAGCGATTTGAAAGTGAGAATGAGGATCTTGAATCCTTTCGTTCTGCAACAGGGAACTTCCATAATGTGAAGCATCACTGTGGAGTGTCAGCCATGAACTGATCGACCAGTTTTATCTGAGGGATTGTTGGTCAGGACAGCCGGAGAAACTCCCTTCTCTTTTCAAATAGTGCCATGGGATCTTTAACATCCACCTCTATTGGCAATACTTGATTATAACATCTCATCCTAAAGATAATATGTACAAAAGTGCAGTGCTGTTACTAAGGCTGGCAGGTTACTAAGATAAACTGGATGAGTTAGGCCTTTTCTCGCTAAAGAGATGGTGATGGATTTCCGCATGTTTCAGACACTAGGCTGAGCCCCCCAAAAAACAAAGTAATGCGGGAATCCATCACCACACAAACCAAACTAACAATTCCATGCATCCCAACTATGCATGGAATTTCCAGAGATAGATGGCTGGAATGGAATGCGCACTCTCTCCCTAGAGGGACACATCCTGCTTACCTAATTCTGGAAAGTATCAAGCGCAGGTTGGCAAGAGCCAAGGCATGTAGACCCCAGAGTGTGCGTTGGTTTACTACTGGAGTATAACCGCTAAAACTGCTTAGCTTGCAATTGATATCACTGTCTGGCAAGCTTTCCCAATGCTTGACCAGTTAGGACCACTCTATCCGTTAGGGCTTTGGCTTGCTGGGTTAACAGGAGCTGAGTAGGATGACTCCCTGCCCCCAGTGACTGGTCTGCCCTTCAAGTCCTGCTGATGAGCCAGGCTGGAATACTGTGGACCCGCCTGGCTCAGGAACCAGACTTCTGAGATCACCATAGAGGGTTGGCTCGATTCGACATTCCGTTGCCAAATATGTCACCTTGGAACCAGTTCAGCTCCATGGAGACCCCGATTACCTCCCCGCCTCCGACAAGCAAGTGCTTGAGCCCTCACTCATGGATAGTAGGTCCTAGGTACATTAAATTGTAGTTCAAATGTGGGTGTTCCTCATAACTTAGTCTGAAATCATCTTTTATCAATTTTGGTTAAAGTCTTATGTGACCAATGCCTATTTGAACATCAGTTACCTAAAATTACACATAATACACTGAATATAGTCGTGACAGAATTTGTCTAAAACAAAGGTGGCCAACCTTTTTGGTCGGCAAATCAAATACATGTTTTTTTAATTTAATTTTTCTTTATTTATGACAGTGTTTTGGGTATCATGGCTCGATAGCTACTGGAAACAAGGTATTGATTTAGTGCAGATCTGCCAGGACTTATGCAGCCACTTCTTGATGCCCCCGCACCAGTGTAATCTTTAATCAAAAGTTGTTGAGATGAATCTCTGTAGTTTGTTAGACCTGCTCTGCGCGTTTATCACATCCAGGCTCAACTACGTTAACTCACTGTTTGTTGACCTTCTCAACTCTTTTCTCAACAATCATTTAGAACATTTGTGTCCTCTCCTGCACAAGCTCCGTCACCCTAACACCCTCACCCAGCTCCACTGATCCAACCCCCCAGCTCATGTCCAAATCTCTGTCTGTCCAGTTCCTTGGGATGTCCTCATGACATGAAATGTGCTATACAAATGTAATTTGTTGTTGTTGTTGTTGTGAATCTTCTCATGGCTAGTTTGTGGAAGCAAATTACCCAACCAAAGGTGCCATCATGCGACTGGTGGAGATACGTGAAAGAAGAGATCGTGGCTAGAACTGAGGACATTTAGGTCATCTAAACAATCCCAAACTACACAAATGCCTTGACCCCCTAACCCTTAAACATATTTATCTCCCTGTGTATGCACAACTGTGCTAACAAACCCAATGCAACATCCTGCAGAAGAAAACCTGCAACGTTGTCACAAAATGTATAAACTTCAAATACAAATTTGGAAATTGTTTAATAATGGAACCACTGCTGGAAGATGCAATCATTTCTTCAGAGAAGCTAGATTAGAGAAGCCGCTATATTTTTGTTTGGAGAGCAGTTTGGAAAGCTTTGTAAACTGATCTGTGGTTGCAGGCTGTTCACATTAATAAAAGAAGTGTAGGGAAACTCATTGTGTCTGAAATCATATGCCTTTTCCCAGCTAAACCACAGCAAGAAGTTGAGAGTTTCAATAAAATACTTTGGAACTTCAAGATTATGCTTATTCTTACTTAATTTCTTCTTAGATTTAACATGGGCTTTGCTTACCTTGTATAAAAATGACCAGTTTGTACAAATGTTAGTCAATATTTAAAAGTCTTTCTCGTATCCATTCTTTCTGTGAAACTTGTTTTATTTAGTTCAAACATCAGTTTATTTATTTATCAAACAGAACAAAAGTTCATTGCTACCAAGAGTTACCACATTTTTATGGATATTTTCCAAAGACACTTGGTTACTGTTCTTTCTCTTGATTTCTTTTGAAACCAATTTGTAAATATCCTGTGACTAAAATCAAATATAAATTGGCTGCCATGTTTGCCTATAAATACACAGTCACTGGACTTCATAATAAATGCTGTGAAGTGCTTTGAGATGTTTGTACACTGTGATAAGACACTATATAAAATACAAGGATTATTGAATATTTAGATGAATATTGATCATCTTGTTGAATGCGTTTGACACTTTCCCCACTATGAATATTAGGTTAATTACATTATGCTTGAAATGTTATTTCTAAAGCTCCTTGTACATGTTTTAAAAAACTTGGTCCTTTAATATTAATTTCTTTAGTTGATCCTTTTGTTATCCTTTTAACTTAGGTTCCATCTGCCTTGGGATTCAGGTAAACGACCACTCAGCCATTGCTATTTCAAAGAGACGTAGGACTCAATCTTCCGGTTTTCTTGGTTTATATTCCCTCCTAATTTAAATTTAATCCCAAATTCAAATTGATCGACTGCTCACCTCATAGTTGTTTATGAGATATTGCTGGCTCGGCATAGCTATGCCATTTGCCTGCAGTAACAAGCTGCTCTTACAATTACAATCAATTATATTTTGCGAAGCCTTTTGAGACTTTTTTATGTGAAGGAGTGATGTAAATGCTATTATTATTGTACATCCATTTCCTCGCATCGAGTTGTGGAATAAATTGTTGTTGAAGAAAATAAATAAAAGCATTTTCATCTGAAAAGCTCCCTTCTCTTCATGAACAGTGGCATGGGATCTTTAATATGAAGGCTGCTTTGGAACATTGCTGTGCGCAATGAAATCCCGTGAAGCGTTTTGAGATGTCCTCCTGATGTGAAAGATGTTCTACCAAAAGCAAGGATCAGTGGTATCATATCAGATGTACTTTTGAACCATGTTAAGGAGTGAGAGTGCAAGTTTTGAAGTCGATTGCCATTACTGTTTGCATTCTGGCTTGCTTTCAAATGATCAGTTGGTTGTAGTTACAGCAAGCTTGTCAGGCACAGCATTGTACTTTACTCACCCGCACTATACTCCATACCCCCATCACACCAGTTCTAGCCAAGCTCTACTGGCTCCCTATCACCGAACAGGTCGATTTCAAATCCCTTCATGCCCTGGCACTTCCCTATCTCTCCGACCTGCTTATCCCCAACCCACAACCCGTTGCCTCCACTCGACTGGCTTCGGCCTTCTGCATATCTCCCGTGCCCTCCGTTCTACCATTGGTGGCCGCACTTTCAGCCACTACGCCCCAAAACTATGGAACACACTTCCTCCCTCTGCCTTGCCCCTTCCTTCCCCATTTTCAGGTCATACCTGAAGACCTTCCTATTCGACCGTGCCTATGGATACTGCGCCCTCTCCCCAGCTCGAAGTCGTGGTCCGCCACTGTCAAGCACTCTGGGATGCTACCCTGCATGAGAGGCACTATATAAATACAAGTTGTTGTAACTCACAGTTACTCACAAAGTGACATTGGTGGAGACTGTAGAAATGGTCCCCCAATTGATCCTTTCAACTGGAGTCACATTAAAATGAATGAAAAAAGTCAAAAAAGCACAATTGTTAAAATATATTATTGATATAATTTTATTGATATTTGAAGTATTCAGAATTATACATCTGATATATAATCTCTACCCTTTGTAATAAATAGCCTCTGAATGTTTAAAATATTCTTTATAAAAATGGATTTAAAATATCCCTCCTGAATTCTGACACACATACACATTTCTTTGTTTCTTAAAAGAAAGTATTTACAGAAAACTGGCTTCAAAGTAAGAACTGTATTTAAGAATTTGCCAAATTCTGGACACTGAAATACAATAACAACCACAACAAAGTTACATTTTTAGAACGCCTTTCACGTCGGGAGGATGTCCCGATATTAAGAAAACAAAGTAAATCTAGATCCAGGTGGATTTTCTATCCCACAATGGACTCAGTATTGGATATTGCAACTCAATATCCCATAATTGGTGGGATATTGTTGGACTCAAACTTGCTCAGTTTGTAGCATTCTCACCTCTGAATCAGACATTTGTGGGTTTCAACCCCCACATCGGGACTTGAACTCACATAGTTTAGACTGATGCTGCAGTGCAGTGCTGGGGCTGTGCTGCATTGTTGGAGCTGCCATCCTTTGGATGAGCTGATCTTAAACATAGATTCCATTTACCTGTTTGGGTGGAAGTTAAAGATCCCATGGCACTACTTGAAAAGAGAAGAGAGTTTCTCCCCATGTCCTGGCCACAATCCCCCCAAATAAAATTCGTCATTCACTTCAGACATTGCTGTGTGGAAATTAAGAAAACTGTGTTTGAGGACAAAGTACAGTCACTACACTTTACAGTATAATCCTGTGAAGTGCTCTGAGACGTTCTGACGTGAAAGGTGCTGGTCCACTTATTTAAATAGACCTGCGATAATTATGGGTGGTAAACAAAATGTCAAATTAATATTGACTCCAGTACAAAGGCAGATGCTGTTTGGATTAATATGAGCAGCTGAATGATGTCTTATATGAAGCAGATTAATTGAGAAATTTGGAATTTAAAATGATTTTGGGGCAAATTTGGCAAATTCTTAAATACATTCTTAATTTTGAAGCTACTGTGGTTTTCTGTAAAAAAAACTTTCAAGAAACACAGAAATCCATCTTCAAAGTTAAGATTGAATTCAACAATTCGCAAATTCTAATGTTCTGAAATGGCAAGAAATTGGAGAACATCAGAATCCATATGGAATTTCTCCCAATATATATATGTTGTATTTGGTATTTACTCATCCTCATTTATGTTGTACGTATTTGCTATTCACAGGATATTGATAGGATCATATCATAACAAGATTTTGATAGGTAAAATACATTTGCTGCAACATAATTGTATACCTGCTTGATTGAGCTGGTGGCTCGAATTCATTCAAAGGCACAACATAAATTGTACTGTTTTCATTTTGCTTTTAAAGTGATCAAAAATGTATTATGATTGTTGACCTAGCTTTCCCACTCACTTCCCATAATCTTCTGAATGACATACAATAGAGTCACTCAGAGGTTAATGTTTGATGCACTCTGTAATGACACTATGTTCTTGCCTGTTTAGCAATCACTGCAAGCTCTTATCTCAGCGACTCAATAAGATAAAACTGCTCTCGCCAACTGGGGTCATTTTTATTCCACAGTGAAGAGGGATCTTGTTTTGGTGCTTATCATGTCAGGAACAAGGAGCAAACTATTAGCCTTCCTGCAAGTTTTACTACTTGCATGTTCACTCACTAGATCCGTAAGTGATGATTTGTTTTTGTGCTGGAAATCTACAGTGAATAGTTTTTGCAGACATCTTAGCACATTGCAGAAAATCTAGTAATGATCTATCTGGTTTGCTTTCACAGCAATTTCCTCCATCTAAAGATACTTGCTGCAACCTAGACAGCCGTTTTGTGAGTAAAGATTTTCTGCATTGACTACAATTCACAGCATGTTGATTTTAGCCTGTAAATTACCTATTATTTGTTTGGTATTTTTGATCATTTAGGGAGAATTCTGCCCAACAACCTGTGGCGTCTTTAATTTCTTGAGCAAACACCGAGGGACAACTGATTATCAATTAAGTGTACTAGAAAAGAGTTTGCAAGCCATTGAAAATGCAACCACTTTAACACGAAGACAGATGGAGACTATTGAACAATCCAATGTAGTCATAAAGAAACAACTGCCAGGTAATAATTCTATGTGCACAAAAGTTGAGACAAATTCATATTTATTAAAAAATTGAGTTTAGATTGACTCTCATGCCTTGATTTTCATGCCTTTAATTTCCTATTATTTGATTATGTCTGAAAGACACATTCATCAAAAGGATTCGGGACATCCAGACAGACATTTTCAGATTTGAGAGAGTCAGCGAAGACAAGAACGTCGAATTGCGGTAGGCATTTGAGATTGTGTTACGCAGTACATCATCAAGTGATCCGGCATGTAATGGTGGGGTGGTGGATGGTTTTGTATAGAGACAGATTTTCTTCTAGCAGAAGACCAGTTTCTACATTCTATTTAGCCTTTAAATAATTCAATCTGCAGGTGTGTTCGACATACAGGTCTCTACCTCTCTGAGTCAATGAATCATTTAGTATTTTTTTTCAAACAGTGAAATAGAAAGCATACTGTCATCGAACCGCGAAGTAATAAGTCGCTTGAAGAGAACGACTCAAGAACTTCACGCACGGTGTGGAAAGACGTGTCGAGACACTATAGAAATCTTTGAAGTCACAGGTCGAGGTTAGTGTCCATTTGTCTATAGACAGAAATTCTATTACTGCAGTTAAAGAGCATCTATAATAATAATAATCCTTCCACTTGATATAGCACCTTATCAATCAGACGTCTCTGTCATTAAGAAGTTTCAAAGCGCTTCATAGAATATATTGTAAAGTGGATTGATTGCGTATTTGTGGGTAAAATGCAGCAGCCAATTGTGCACAGCGGTGTCCCACAAATAATCGTGCATTGAGTGACCAAATTATTTATTTATTTGAACTACAATAAAGATTTTCCTCTTTAGGTGATTAGTTCTGTATTTGTAAGAATTTACTTTGACATTTTTCTTTGGAATTAAGATAAATTGCTGTTTTACTGCAACTATTGCTTTGTTACAAGAAACTGGGCATGAAATGTAAATGTAATCCTTTGCAGACTGTCAGGAAATTGCTGACAAGGGGGCTCGAAAAAGTGGTCTTTACTATATCAAGCCTGATAGAACCAAACAGCAATTCTTAGTGTATTGTGAGATAGACTCAGCAGGGAGAGGATGGACAGTGCTGCAAAGGGTATGTATAATACATTACATCACATGGACAAGCAGACTTTTCAAGTGAAATAAAAAGTGTGAATTGATTTCACTATTCACTTTGAATCTGTTTTAGAGACTCGATGGCAGTGTGAACTTTTACAAGAACTGGGTTCAGTACAAAGAAGGCTTTGGATACTTGTCACCTGCTGATAGGACTGAGTTCTGGCTTGGCAATGAGAAGATGCATTTATTAACTATGCAGCAGCACAGACCCTATCTACTCAAAATAACGCTAAAGGACTGGAGTGGTGAGGAAAGGTAATGTTTTTCTCATCCTTGTAAACAGTATGATAGGGCTGTTTGATTTGATCAAGCTTAAAAAAGTTGAATAATTTGATAGTTGTGTTTAAAAACGTGGTGTTAAACTAATATTGCATGATACTATTCTTGTACCACCTGCTATTAAACTAGTCTTACCTTTCCCATCATCTCCACTTTATATCCAACTAACAGTTTCTTTTCCTGCCCTCACACCATCACATGCAGCCTCAGGGCTCTGTCCTTGGCCCTCTCCTCTTCAATATCTACATGCTCCTACTCGGTGACATCATCCACAGACATAGGGTTAATTTCCACATGTATGCAGATGACATCCAACTCTGTCTCTCTGCCTCCACCCTCAACTCCTGGACCACTGAAGTCCTGACTGAATGCCTGTCAGACATCAAGTTCTGAATGAGAGCCAACTATCTCCATTTGAACATCAACAAGACAAGCCCTCCAGCTTGGCTCCCGTCAGCATCTCCTCACCTTGAGCCTGACAGCAATGTTATTGTCCACCTACCAAGCTAGTATGGAACCTTGGTGTCTTGTTCGACTCTCAACTGTCTTTTAAACCACACATCCGTGCCATGACCCACTCTGCCACACCTTTGGTCACCCTACTACCCATATCCCCCCTGCCCTACACCCCTCTTGACTCCAACCACCAGCTTGGGTATAAACTCTTGACTGTCCAACACCTTGGGATGTCTTCCAATGTGAAAGGCTCTATATAAGTGCAATTTGTTGTTGTTTTGGTGGTGGTGGTACTGAATGATATTATTCTAGTACAGAATGATATTAAATTAGTATTGCATGATATTCTAGTCTAGTGCATGATTGACTTTATACTTTTTTTGCGAGTTTGGTCCAAGGCCGTCCTGGATCATTTGTATATAACAACTAAATTGTGTGCTGGTCAGAGTGTGTTTTTCAAAGAGGAGGGTTCATGGAAAACGATTGCATGATCTTACACAACAGCCCAGCATCTTTGCATTAAAATACATTTTTTGTTACAAAAGTCAGATTTTAATGATTTGCGCTAGTTATATCTAGGCAAAGCTTCTGTAATAATGAATGTAGATCCTAAATCTGTACAAACCACTTGGTTTATATGCACACCTTCACTAAGACACCCCCCCACTCCCCCCTCCCCTATGATTACCTCTCCTCAGTCCTCTCTGAGTTATTGGACACATCTCTCTCTTCTCCAGGTCTGGAGAATTCTCAAAATTAGACCTAGGCCATTTAGGAGTGAAATCAGAAAGCATTTTTTTCACGCAAAGGGTAGTGGAAGTCTGGAGCTCTCTCCCAAAAGGCTATGGATACTGAATTCATTAAAATTTTCAAGAGTGAGGTGGACAGATTTTGGTTGCTGAAGGTATCAAGTGATATGGGGAAAGGGCGGGTAATTTGAGTTGAGGTACAGATCAATCATGATGGCAGAACAGGCTTGAGGGGCTAAATGGCTTTCTCCTGTTCCTATGTTCCTATGTCAAGTAATTCAGAACCAAATTGATCAACCACCAATGTTGCTGTTTGGAAGATGGCACAAGGCACTACCATTTATTTTGGTATTACCTTGGGTCGTGGCAAATGGCCGTTGAAGAAAATGATTTGGAAGGTTCTTATGGAGTTACTCCCTAGGAACCTCTCAAATTACTTCCTTCAATGCCCATTTGCCACTGAGCTCAGAAATGCCATCAAAAGAGCAAAACAACCCCATTATTAGAGAAGACGAGCTTTTTGTTGCAGTTGCTGCAGGTAACAAAGAGGGGATGAAGCACTTCTCCACCACACTGAATCCTGCTACAGAATACTCACTATGTTTGTCACCTTTTCTTTTCCTTCAGTTATGCTTTTTACAATGGATTTAAAGTGGCCAGCGAGGAAGAGGGCTATCGCTTGATCTACAGCTTCTTTGACAGGGGAAGCGCAGGAAATGCCTTTGAAGGCTTTGCCTTCAAAGAAGATGTGAGTGACAAATTCTACACTAGGATCAATGGAATGAAGTTCAGCACAGCCGACCAGGATAATGATGCGTACGATGGGAACTGTGCTCTACAGGATACATCCGGTTGGTGGATGAACAAATGCCATGCTGCAAACCTTAACGGCAACTACTACCAAGGTAATGATATTACTAATAATTATCTTTGCATTTGAAATAGCACCTTATCACGGTGTCAAGACGTCTCAAAATGCTTCACAGGATATACTGTAAAGTGAATTGACTGTATATTTTGTGGGCAAACACAGCAGCCAATTGTGCACAGCAGTGTCCCACAAACAGTCGTGGACTGAGTGACCAAATTATTAATATTATTTTCGTTAAGGGATTATTAGCCCCAGAAAGCGATCCGTTGAATAATCTGAATGTGATCTGAATGAGTAATACTGCAATACCCATCAGCAACTTACATTTAAATTACAGACAGCTCTTGTCAGAAGCTGAAAAACAACATTAATCAAAATTCCCCCCCAAAAAAAATATTCATTTCACATGCCCTAAAATGTTTTAAAATGTAATAAAGAACTCTCACTGACTCCTATCGGATTATGTTTGGAGTGACACTGGGAGGTTGATATTCTGTTGCCTTGTGCAAAGAAGATGGAAATAATTTGTATTACAGAGGCTTTTCATCATATCAAAATAGTATTCAAAGATGCTGTAAAGGTGTGTTTTATTTCAGTTTGTCATCACTAGCAGCACAGTGGTAATAACCCAGTAAGCTATCCTTGGTTCAATTTCAAGTAAAGCTGACATTTGGACTTGACTATACTGAAAGAATGAGTGCCATTTGGTTCTGAGACAGACGACTATACGTAGCTTCTCTATGTAAAAGTGTGTAAATTTGGGGAAGAAAAATTGAGTGCATAGATCTAGTCCATTCCATAAAATGTCCTTCCAGTCAACGGTGAAAACAACTATGAACTAAAGAGCTAGGTGATTGATAAAAGCACTAGTATGGAAATGTGCTCTCACCCTATCCTCGCCTGACTCCACTGGCTTCCCATTACACAGGGGATACAGTTCAAGATCCTGGTCCTCACCTTCAAAGCCCTCCATGGCCTTGCAAACTTCTAAACCCCTATCAACCCGCTCGCTACCTCCACTCAGCGGGCTCCAGCCTACTTCACGTTCCCTGCTTCGCCCGCCTCACCATTGGCGGGTGAACCTTCTGCTACTCTGCCCCACCCTCTGGAACTCCATCCCACAGTCCCTCTGCATCACCCCCTCCCTTGCATCCTTCAAGACCCATCTCAAGACCCTCCTCTTCGACCCTGTCTTCAGTCACCCTCCATCCCTCCTGCCCTCCACCCTCCCCGATCCCAACCCCCAGCTCAAGTCTGAAACACTGATTGTCCAGCGCCTTGGGACATCCTCCTAACGTGTTGTTGCTCATGTTATCAGCTTTGAAAAACTTAAGGGCTGAGTTGTCTATCCACTACCTGGATTCAAACCTAGAACCTTCTAAGACCAGATCTGGTGTTTGGGACCAGTCTGATGTTGACTGTCACGTGTTGACTGAATGAGATTTAATTTGCTGTCTTCATTTTTGTTTTTGGTTAGTCTTGTGGCTAACACATGGAATCCCACCACCATGCTTAAGAGTATTCAAACTAGATTGAGTCTTCCACATATGTATGCCACCTATGCACAAGGAAATTTCTGGAATCGAACGCGCACTATCTCCCCAAAGGGATACACCCTGCTTGTCTAATTCTGGGGAGTATTAGGCATAGGTTGAGCAAGGCTTTGGGAATCACGAGTGTGCATCAGAATAATACAGGCGTTTAAACAGCTTCAACTCAGCATAGCTTGTCTGGCAATCTTCCCAGTACATATCCAGGTAGAATCACCCTATCCATTAGGGCTTTGTCTTGCAGGATAAGCAAGAGTGAGAATCCCTGCTCCCATTGACTGGTTTGTCCAACAATTGCTGCTACTGATCTATGCTGCCTCATCTGTCATCAACAATGCTTTGAAGTACTGCAGACCCACCCGGCTCAAGAACTGGACTACCAAGACTGCCACAGAAAGTTGACTTGATTCTGACATTCGGTTGCCTAGCATGTCATTTTTGAGCCAGCTCAGCCCCAAGGTGACCCTACTTAACTCTCCCCAAGGAGGATAGTTGCTGGTTGGTCACTAGATATCCAACAAGTGCAGGTTTGAGCCATCAGCTCCATCAGTCTAGACAGTGAGCTCAACCTTCTGCCCCAGAAATGAGAGTGCTACCAACTCAGCCAAACCAACAGGTAAAGCTGAAAACTGTACCATGCTCTGGAGATGCTGTGGTAATCACATTCAGCAACAGTTTGCAACAAAGGTTACCAGGAAAGAGCAATTCTACACAGATTCTGCTGAGCATGTTTGGTGGATACCTAAAAAAATGTAGCCCAGCTACGGGTTATGTTTCCCCAATAGACCAATGGAAGAGCAGGAATCTATGGTTTGTCATGAATTGGTGTAAATCAGTTTTTAATCAGAATTAATCAGAGCAGTTACATGTAATTTATTATGTGTACTTGTCCTTCTGACTGAGGTCCAGGATGGATAACTGGTATATGTTCAGTAGCATAAACCCTTACTTTCATAAAGTTAATTATAAAGGAAGAACTTTAAGGAAAATTGCAAGTCCTTATTAGAAAACTTTTGTAAGGCATATTAATGGACCCCAGGGGAAAGAGTGCAGGTTAAATAGTTAAGAGTCAGCCTGGCTCAGTCAGTAGGACTCTCATCTCAGAGTCAGAAGGTTGTGGGTTCAAGCCCCATGTTGCGACTTTAGATCATAGAAGAGGCCGACATTCCAGTAGAGTGCTGGGGGAACTCTTTTCCAATGGTGCCACAGGACCTTTAAGGTCCACCTGAACAGGGAGACAGAACCTTGATTTAACAGCTCAACTGGAAAGCAGCAATGCCGCGTTTCCAGCAACAGTGCCCTGGAATATCATCTTAGGTTGTGGGTTTAAAATCCCAACATGGGGCTTGAAGAGAGGTTAGGAGAGAAGCTGCTGATAGTAATCCATATGAGACTCAATGACAGAGTGAATAGGGGTTATAAGTTTCTCAAAAGGGGTGCTGAAAAAAGTGTTTGCTTCATGGATTGTTATAGTTCTTTGTAGAGTTGAATCATTTGTTGTACAATTCTTCAATACGATTTTGACCATTTTTAAGAGTTGGTCAGTTAGTACTGATCAAATAGTGTTGGATCTACAGATAACTGGGACTGTGTTTTGGATAAACTAAGTTATGAGAAAGACAAGTAGGATCTCAACCAAATGCTGACACATTTGCAACTGATGGAAGACTTTATTCTACTTCCCCTCAAATTCCAGCTGCCCCATCAGAAATTTAGTGAAGACAGTTTATCTCAGTGTCCTGGACAGCAATCTTCCAGTGTTAGAGTTTTGTGGACACATTCATAAGAAATGAATTTTAGCATGGAAAGTGTTATATTTTTAACTGACTAGGTTGTCAGAAGGATACCAAAGGATACTTATTGTGCAAGTCTTCACAGCTGATGCTGTAGATATAGGCACATTATTTAACCATCTTGCTAGAGCATGGATCTGATTTTAACCTAGGTAAACTGTAGTTACTGATGGTTACCAAAAGTCACTTCATGAAGGCAGTATGTCAGGGATGCTGCACACATGTACAGCACGCAGGAAGTGCCTTTACTGCATATCTTACACAGCTCCTTTTCAATGAGGTGTGTAAGATATGCAGACAACCATGCCTAAACAGGGTCCTCCTGTAATTCTTAGCGTTGACCTTCCTGTCAACGAACATCAGTAATTATTGTGAAAACAATGATTAATTCTTGTGGAAATTTTTTTTTTTTAAGAAGTGCAGTATTTTTTGGATAGTGTTAAATTGAACAGAGATCCGAGGTCACACAGATCAAGCTGACTGACGTATATGGGTTTCCCTGTTGGAAATACAGTTTATAGTGTGAAGAGCTTTCCCGGCAGCCAGGCTCCATTTACACTAACATTTTCCCAAGGAACACTTTTTCATCTTATTGCTAATTTTTTGGGGGGCGGGGGGGAGAGGAAATAGTTACTTAGACAAAGATGAAGCGAAAAGGTTGTATTTATTTACAGTGAAAGACAGAGGATTTTTTTTCACAAATATAGGGATCACCACCTGAAACATGACATGTTTGTGTACTCATCCCAGCACTTTGGGTGCATCTAAAATTTAAAGTACTAGAATCTATTCAAGAAGACTTTCTGTGCCTCCGAGATTAGCTATTATAAAGACAAAGACAGTTGTGATAAAATGCCCCCATTGAAACTATTGTGGGACCATAAAGTAATGTGTAGCTTTACTTTCAGTATTTACTGTCGGCTATGGTGCTAAAGACTGTTTATCTGAAAGGTATTTATCGTTGACCGTGTTTCAGGTGGACACTACACAGCTGACCAGACTCCCAGTGGGTTTGACAATGGCATTATCTGGGCAACATGGCGGGACCGCTGGTACTCTCTCAAAGAAACCACAATGAAAATCATACCAATCAGGAGATACTCAGAACTACAGCACCTTGAACAAGAACAGACACAAGATATGCCAAGGGGCGACAATTAGTAAAAGAATGGCTCCCATCCCATCGAAGAAATACATTTTGATTTCTCCTTGATGATTGATAGCAGTAGAACTTGCATCTGAAATAAGCTGATTCATGAGTGAATGTGTACTGCTCACAGTATAAGGGAATAATCACAATTCCCCTTTCAAATGTATTTTCTTTGGATGCCATTATTATTAAAGTAAGTTTGTTTCTCCTAACACTTTACTCTGTCATTGATGTGTTTTATTTGCCAACAAAAAAGCCTAAGTATTTTATAAATGTAAGGATTACATTTGATTTGTTTTCGAAAGAATTTTTGTTTCTATTGTATTAGAAAATAGCAATAAAATCAGAATAATTTATCAATATCGGTACGGCATAACATGTAAGTTCATAAGTTATGTTTTTCAGTTGTACCATCTCTCACCTGAGCATGTCAACGGTCAATGTGTGGATTATATGTTAAACTTAATAAATACATGCTTTAATTAAACTATACTAAACTATATGACAAACCTCATTAGTAACATTCACCATATATTTTATCTGTATATTTTTCATTTACAAAATAATACAATGTAATCTACATTTACATAATAGTACTAATAATCCTTGCATTTGATATAGCACTTTATCACATTGTGGAGATGTCTCAAAGCGCTTCACGAAATATACTGTAAAGTGTCGTGACTGTCATTTTGTGGGCAAAACGCAGCTGCCAATTGCGCGGAGCAGTGTCCCACAAACGATCCTGGATCGAGTGCCAAAATTATTATTATTTATTTGTTATTTGGAGGGATCCGCCAATCGACTAACAGCCGGTTTTCTACTCACTGCTAGATAAACAGAGGTGTGTGGAGTAAGGAAACCTACCTAATGTTTTGCCCTGCCCCAGAATTGAACCCAGGTCCTCTCACTTGCGAGACAAGCTCTCTAACCACTATGCCATATGACTCCTTATATTGCCTTTCAAAATTGCAGTCATCACCCTATCCCAAGAAATCCTCACTCAAGCCTTCCATGCTCTCCAGTTACCTCCAACGTATCTCTAACTTGCTCTTCCTCTCCAAAATACTGGAACAAGCCACCATCTTCCAGTTTGGCTCCTTCCTCTCCCACCACACGCTGGTTGAGTCCCACCAAAGCCATAAATTATTTTTATCAATTCATTATGCATTTACAAAGATAAATAATGATGAGAATTGTAGTGTCAGTGCAGCACTTCCTCCCAGACAAATTTCGCACTCAGAATCCATATTTGTTCTTTTAACTTTAGAGATTCATTCAACAACAAAATTACATTTGTATAGCGTCTTTCACGTCGGGAGGACATCGCAAGGCGCTGGACAATCAGTGTTTCATACCTGAGCTGTGGGTCGGGATTGGGGAGGGTGGAGGGCAGGGGCGGAAGGTGGGTGATCAAAGCACGGTCGAAGAGGAGGGTCTTGAGATGGGTCTCGAAGGAGGAAAGGGAGGGGACGAGGTGGAGGGACTGTGGGATGGAGTTCCAGAGGGTGGGGGTAGAGTGCCTGAATGCCCACCTGCCAATTGGGCGGGCGAAGTGGGGAATGTGAAGCAGGCCGGAACCTGCTGAGTGGAGGGTTAGGATTAGGAGGTCACAGAGGTAGGGGGGAGCCAGTGGAGTTGGGCGAGGATGGGGGTGATAGGGTCACGGAGCCTAGTGCAGGAGAAGACGCAGGCTGCAGAGTTCTGGATTATCTGCAGCCTACGGAGGGAAGAGTTGGGGAGGCCGACAAGCAAGGAGTTTGCATAGTCAAGCCTGAATGTTATGAATCCGTGTACAAGGGTTTCGGCGGCCTGCGGTGCGACACAGTGGCAGAGCCGGGCAAGGTTGTGGAGTTGGTAGAAGTCAGAGTAGGTCATGGCATGGATGTGGGATAGTCATCCAGACTTGATATCAGACAGACATTCTGTCAGGACAGCATTGGTCCTGGAGTCACGGGTGGCAGCACAGAGATTGGGGGCATCCGCATACATGTGGAAATTGACCCCATATCTGGATGATATCACCAAGAGGGAACATATAGATATTGAAGAGGAGGGGACCAAGGACAGCCCTGAGGAACACCAAACGAGATGGTGCAAGAGCTAGAGGAGAAACCGTTTGTGGAGATGAAGTGGAGACGGTGTGAGAGGTACGATCTGAATCATTCAAGGACAGAAGCATGAAGATTCCTCATTTCCATAGAGTTTGATAGAGCATTCAATTTGTGAGGCAGGTCTTAGCATTTGTCATTTGCCAACCTTTTTTTTATTGCAGCATTTTGCTGTGAACAGAACTTCAGAGAAAGAAAATGTCCCTCTACAAATCCATTCTCATCAGAGACAGATTTGAAGTCTTTTTAGTTCATTCAGTTTTATGAAAATAGCGAATAAAAGAATTTTTAACTTATCATTCAGTGAATAAATGATTAAAAACATATGAAAATCAACATGAAAACTAGCCTGAAGAGGTGAAATTCCACAGCTAACTTTGGTGGTATGGATTTATATTGAGATTTCTCATAATTTGTGCACGTCACCAAGTGTATCAGCTTGGCTCACTTAGTAGCTCTCTCAATTTAGTAACACTCTTACCTCTGAGTCAGACCATTGCAGGTTAAAGCCTCATGTCGGTACTTGGAACTCATATAGTCTAAATTGATGCTCCAATGCAGCCCAGGGGTACATTTCATTGTCAGAGGTGATGTCCTTCGATGAGTTGTTAAATTGAGGCCCCATCTGTCTATTCAGTTAGATGGTAAAGATCCCATGACATTATTTGAAAAGATAAGGGAGTTTCTCCCAGTGTCCTGACCAACAATCCCCAAATAAAATTGGTCATTCGTTTCATGGCTGTTTGTGGCACATTGCTGTGCGCATATTAGACCTTGGACTTTTTCCATCTAGCATTTCTTATGCTTTTTACATACAGTATATCCTGTGAAGCGCTTTGAGATGTCCTCCTGACGTGAACGGTGTAAAGATTATTATTATTATTATTAAAGTTGGTCACTATTTCTGCTGGTGTGACTGTACCATTGGTTGACTTGATTCAATATGGTTCATAGGAACATAGGAAATTATATATCAAATATACAATATATTTGCTATATCAAATGCAAGGATTATTATTATTATTATTAAACCAGATAAGGCCATTCGGTCAATCGAAGCTGCTCCACCATTGACCATCATTGCTCACACACCACAAACCTCCGTTAATTCTTCTTCCTTGCCTTCCCATCCTATCACTGAATAGTTTTACTCCCCATGCATCTATGTATCTATCTCAAATCACTCAATGGATTTCTCATCTGTGTCTCTCTGGGGCAGTGCAGTCATGTCTTCTCTGTGAGAGGCATTTATTCAGTTGGTAATTATTATTTAATTCAAGTACATTAAAGAGGGCCTTTATGAGGACTTGCTTGGAAAATCATAGTTGGGAAAACCAGAGCGATTGTAGTGTGTTCTGGCACAATGAGATCTAATTTGTGTCTTTTCTTACAAAAAAATGTGTAATTCTCAATTTCTGATACATCCAATCTGATGAAGATTACACAGATTTCTGAAGAACCTTGAAAAATAAACGATACCTGGAAAATCCTTCTGTTTTTTTAGGGGAAAAATGAAAACCGAAAGGGAATAAGAGATAAGATGGTTATTTAATTTAAATGTTGATTGCAGACTGGAGGACATGATTTCAAAATTAACAAGATTTAAACAATTTTAGACATGGAGGCAATGGAAGATAAAGACAATTATTTTTTTCCACAGAATTAAGGATTTCTGAAGGGAGGAGAATCCCACAGAAAGCAACAAGTGGAATCTAATTTGCAGTATTTGCAAACCCAATTTCTTGCATGAATTGCAATTTCCAGTTTGTTTAAGAAATTAGTGGCCAGCAAATTGTGAATGCTGATACTACAAGTTCTAAAAACAGTCCCGCAAAACACTAGCTTTTTTTTGCCAATGTTTTGCACACCAGCCTATTTTCAGGTTATATACAAGTTTGGGATTCATATATTTCACTGTGAATCCCACAATCTGATCATTGTAGATCAGAAATTGCAATTAACACAGCAAATCTGATTTGTGAATAGAGCATTGCAAATTTTGTTTCGGTTAACTCCTTTAAAAAGAATTGCATGAACATCTGGCTTACAGAAGCACTGAAGATTATAACATAACAATCCTTGTATTTTATATAGCGTCTTTTAGATCAGTTGGATGTCTGCAGATTGACAGCAAATTGTAGTGAGTGAGTCTTCTGTGAGGGAATGCAGCAAACAATTTGTGCACTTTCATGTCCCATTATGGAGTGAACAGCTTTATAAAACATTGATTGTTGTGCTGCAACAACCATGGACGTGTCACCTGTGGAATGCGTCTGACCAAGGCTGAAATATGCAGGTTAGATGATAGCCTAGACTTATGTTAGTTCAGTGAGATTACTTTAGGGGGGGGGTTCAAGGAAAGATTTCACAGAGCTTCAGATTGTTTTATCTATATTTACTGATCTCCTTCAGTTGAGTTTAGTCTGCGATTGTGCAAATCATAGACGGTCTGTTGGTAAGAGAGAATAGTGTTATGTTAATTAAGCTTTTCTCATTCAATGCGATTTTGTTCTTATAACAATCATTAGTTACCACTGCTGAATCCCTGGAGCTATCCCTTGCTGATGAAGCTTGCTGAGGATCTGTTAACCTGCCACTAAGGCATAGAGGAATGAGCCACAGGTAAAACAACTATGGTCACAATTGTATCCATGCAGAGTTACAGAATAGCTGTGGGCTCCCATGGCAGTGCTGAATATGATCTCTGCCAGTCCATCAAGAAAAACTGCTAATGGTAATGAAATACATGGTTATTGTACACTGAGGTCTAAAATGTGGATTCAATTTGAAAAATTCCAAAGTATTGAAAAGGAGGTACCCAGATATTTCAGATGGACTCACACCTCATTGTGGAGTCCCATACCATATTGGTTAGAGCACTCGGGTTGCAAACGAGAGGACCTAAGTTTCATACCTGGGCAGGGTAAACCTTAGGCAAGTTTCCTTCCTCCACATGCCTCTGTTTATCTAGGGGTAAGTAGGAACCCGGTTGTTGGTCGATTGGTGGATCACATTCCAGGGTAATAATGGTCACTCGATCCAGGTTTGTTTGTGGGACCCTGCTGTTCACAATTAGCTGCTGCATTTCAACTGCAAAATACATAATCATTCTACTTTACAATATATTCTGTGAAGAGCTTTGAGAACACCTCAATGATGTGATAAAGTGTTAGATCAAATGCAAGTATTATTATTATTCTCCATGATTCTGCTCTCAGTGCCAACATACATGAAGTGGGGTTATCGGTTTGACTTCCAGCATACAGTTTTCACAGGCCAGTTAGCAGAGCTTTACTGTGAGTTCTAAGAGTTAGTGTAACAATAGGTGGAGAAAACGTTTGACCTTACAAAATATTATCAATTAAAAGAATAGAGACTGTAAGGAGTTGCCAGCACAGATTTATTGGAAGGAAGGAACTAAAGTAGTGGCCAGTGACTACAATTTACTTGGATTTTCGAAGAACATTTCATAAAATTATAATTATTCTTGAATTTGATCTATCCCTACAATATAAAATGTCTCAGAATGCTTCATAGGTAATTGCTGTTGACTGTAATTACATCTTATCTGAAGGACGGCACCTCCAACAATGCAGCACACCCCAAGCACTGGATTGCAGTGTCAACTTACACTATGTGACTCCACAGGTCCCAATATGGGGCTTGAGCCCACAATCTTCTGACGCAGAAGCAAGTGTGTTACCAACTGAGCCAGGCTGACTGTGCAGCACAAGGGCAGTGATGTTTACTGTGTTCACCTACAAAATCGGACATCGCTACTGTTCACAGTATACCGTGTGAAGCACATTGAGACATCCTTCTGATGTGAAAGGTGCTGTACCAAATTCAAGAATTATTATGATTATACAGTAAACTCTGGATAACTTGACCCTGGATTAACTTATCACTATTACTAAATTATCATGTTATTAATATACCGACCTCTTACCACATAAACTATTAATAATATTTTGCCCACATAATATACAGACAATTCACTTTACAGTATATTCTGTGAAGCGCATTGAGACGTCTTGAAGATGTGATAAGGCGCTATATCAAATGCAAGAATTAGTATTATTAATAAGGGAATCACTTCACTTTTCACTTGCTTAACACATAACTCGTTTCATTTGCAGAAATTCTTGAAAGTATTTCAATGTAAAATTAAGCAGTCCTTTGAACAAGATGGCAGCACCCACGTTAACATCATTGGATTGCAGAGACTGGTGGTCAATCGAAGGGCTGTGCCATGACCTCCCCTCCTATCCTATGACTGGTGCGGATGTTTGGCGGAGGTTGGGCGTGCATACTCAGATGCAATGTCTGAGGCGAGCGGATGCTGGCTCAGAAAGACAGAGATCGCGGATCAATGGCTAACTTGTCACATCAGATAACTCGTCACTGGATCTTTTACCCTTTGTGTGCCGAGTTATCCAGAGTTTACTGTATATTGTAAGCAACTGTGGCAGCCAATTTGCGAACAGCAATGTTCCATAAACAGTGATGGAGTGAATGACATTTGGAGATTGGGAGAAACTTCCTTCTGTTTTCAAGCAGTGCTGTGGGATCTTTAATATCCACCTGAACCGGCAGACAGGACCTCAGTTTAATGAATCATCTGAAGGACAATACCTCGAACAATGCAGCACAATCCCTGCACTGCATTGGAGTGTCGGCCTAGACAATGAGTTCAAAATCCTGAACTATGCCTTGAACCCACAATCTTACAACTCGGAAGTGAGAGTCCTACGAGCTGAACCAGGCCGACACACAATGAGAAAATACCCTGTCTTTTCAAACAGAGTCAAATTCTCCATCTGAGACTTTTAAACAATGTTAAAGAGCATTGAATTAATGGCAAATTCTAGGATAGACTGAAAATTAGCTTAGTGGCTGGAAGATAAGAGTGATAATAAATGGAAAAAGTTTTCTGCAATTCTGTTTTCTCTTGTAAAAGTTCTGCCTGTTGCTCATTGCATTTTAATCAGTTTAAGGAATCTCAATCCAACTTCAACTTTGCTTTAAACCATTGGTTGTAGCGTCTGTAGGTCAAAAATTCCAACCAGTCTCAGCCTGTAGGACCACTTTCTTTTTAATTTTAAGAACGCACAGATTTGTGGAACATATTAAATTCATTCTTGATTTGAAAACTTACTTCCAAATTCAAAATTAATTTAAGACTTTTCCATAATTCTACATGATCTGAAATGCTGAGGCAATATTGTATTACAGGCTGAGATGAGGTGCGATTTCTCATTGCCTGCTATTAGGACTGCCAAATGCAACTTTTGAAAATAAACATCGACGAGCTTGCCCTCTGATTCTTTTTCTGGCATCTATGTAGCTTTCCAGAGATTTACTCTCTTTTCCATTGTATTCTTTCTCTAATAATAAAGATCTCTCACCTCTCATCACATATCCTATCCATTCTTTTAGTGATTGTAGGCATTCACTACACTTTACAGTAAATCCTCCAGACATGAAAGATGCCATATCAAATGCAAGGATTATTATCATTCCACTCACCATTCATCAACTTCTTTTAGTTTTTAGACTATCTGTCTGTAGCTGTTACAGCAAATACATCAGCTTTGGTTTGAACATTACAATTGAAGACGCGGTGAAAATTTCATTCTGAGATCGGAGGAACAACAACGACAACTTGCACTTATATAGCGCCCTCCATGCAGTCTAGCATCTCAGAGCACTTGAAGTACATTCCATGTGGGAACTGCTGCAAGGATTTTATCTAACAGTCAAGGGCATATAATCTTCACTCCTCTTCCAATACAGGGTGAACAACCACAACAACTTGCATTTACACACAGGTTTACTATTCGCTCACGGAAATAGTGTGTTGGTACCTTGGTTCTGAATTTACCCCCCTTCAAATGCAGGCCGTGTCCTCTGGCTTTACTATTCTGGACTAGTTGAAACAGCCTGTCATGATCTATTTTGTCAAGTCCTTCAGAATCTTAAAGACAGCAATCATGTCTCCTTTCAATCTTCTGTTTTCCAGGGTGAACATGCCCAATTTACTTAGTCGCTCCTCATAGTCCAGTCCCTCCATTCCCTCAATCATTTGTTTGTTCACGCCAGAATTATCACTGTTTGGATTGTATTGGTGATGAGGCTTGTACATGTGGAATCCTGTAGCTCAGTGGTTAGAACACTCACCACGGGTTTGATTCCCGGCAGGATGAAATGCTGGGCAAGTTTCCTTACTCCACGTGTCTCTGTTTACCTTGCAGTAAGTAGGAACCCGGTTGTTCGTCGATTGGCAGATTGCTTTTCCGGGGATAATAATTCCTTTGAAAAAAATAATAATAATAAATTGGTCACCGCATTTCACTCACAAAATATACAGTCAATTCACTTTATAGTATATTCTGTGAAGTCTCGAAGACATGATAAGGCGCAATATCAAATGCAAAGATTATTATTATTATATAGTGTCGCTCCCATAGGGTAGCGTATCACAGCTGAAAACCTGGGTGGGGACACAAAATCTAAAACGATTGAACAAGGTTCCTTTATTTTATTTTACCATAAGCTCGATCTCTGCGCAACAACAATATAAACAACATTCAAATGGGCTATCACATGAACTAAGTGCTGCAATTGTGCAACAGCTTTTAGGAGAGATTCAAGGCTGTGGACCTTTGAAGTTTTAACAAAACTGCAGGAAAGTCAGAAACATGAGCGTTGATTTGTACAAGAGCTGACAGGTAAATGATTGACAAGGTTTCTGTCGACTGCGTAAACAGTATACTCACACACACTCACTGAGCCTGATCCTGTTGTTCTTCACTTTTGAAGGTAGAAAGAGAGAAGCGGCATTTCTTCAAGTCTTGGCTGCATAGTTAAAGAGATGAGAGCAGCAAAAGTCCTCGGTTTATTTGTGTGCTTCACACTGATACATTCGGTAGGTCCTTTTTTCTTTTTTGGGGGATTTCTGTTCTGGACAGCAGTTATACTGAGAGCCTTGACTCACTGTGAAGACCAAGGGATAAGAATTTTATATCCCAAGGGTAGACCGACATTATTACTCTTGAGTAGCAAATCATGAGCAAATTATGAACAGCATCAATGAAGGACATACTTCGCACATCACTGATCTTCACAATGCCTGTCATTACTGTGATGTATCATCTACTAATCTTGTAAAGAATGAGGCAGAGTTTATCAAGAGGCGAGAAAAGATGGATGCCGTGCTGTGCTATAATTGCATTAGGGTTTGCACCTGTGCAGCTAAGAGGCATTTCTTTGTGGGAAAAGGGAATTATTTACAGTTGTGTGTTTGGGTTGAGGATGTAACTGCTTAAATAGAGTGACATAGAGTGATGGCGGCGTAGAAACAGGCCATTTGGCCCAACTAGTCCAGGCCTGTCTTTATACTCCACATGAACTTTCCCCTCTCCTATTCCCCTCACTATACCCCTTCCTTCTCTTCTCCCTCATGAATGGTAAATTTTTCTCTTTATGCAAATTGTTTCGATTATTTATTTTGAATGATAGAAATGAATGCTTCAATTCATCACTTTTGTTTGTTACAGAGGTGATAAACCTGCTGCAGTTCAGTAAAGACCGAATATGGAATTATATATTTGATGCGCAGTGTTATTCTTGCAAAGGCAACTTTACAACAACAACAACAAAATTACATTTGTATAGGGCCTTTCACATTGGGAGGATATCCCAAGGCACTGGACAGACAGAGTTTCAGACCCGAGCTGGGGGTCGGGATTGGGGAGGGTGGAGGGCAAGCAGGGAGATCGAAAGCACAGTCGAAGAGGAGGGACTTGGGATGGGTCTTGATGGAGGCAACAACAACAACAACAAGGTTCCATTTATAGAGTGCCTTTCACATTGGGAGGAAGTCCCAAGGCGCTGTACAGTTGGGTCAGGACCCGAGCAAGGGGGAAATGGTCAGGGTGAGGGGAGGGAAGGGAGGGAGCGAGGAGGGGGTAGAGAGTCCAGAGGGGAGCTGAAGGCACGGTCAAAGAGAAAGGTCTTGAGACCGGCCTTGAAGGAGGAAAGGGAGGAAGCGGCGAAGGCAATGGGGGATAGAGTTCCAGAGCCTCGGGGCTGAGAGGCTGAAGGCCCAGCCACCGATGGTAGGGCGGTTGGGGCGGGGGATATGGAGCAGACCGGAGCCAGAGGAACGGAGGGTACGGGCAGGTAGGTAGGGGGATAGTTGGTCGGAGAGGTAGGAGGGAGCGAGGCCGTGAATGGCCTTGTAGGTGAGGATGAGGATCTTGAATTTGATCCTCTGGGGGATGGGGAGCCAGTGGAGGCGATCGAGGGTGGGAGTGATGTGGTCCCGATGCCTGGTGCGGGACAGCACACGAGCTGCAGAGTTCTGAATGACCTGCAGCTTGTGGAGGGAGGTGCCGGGAAGGCCGGCGAGGAGAGAGTTCGCATAGTCCAGCCTTCAGGTGATAAAGGCGTGGATCAGAGTTTCAGCAGCGTGAGGGGTGAGGTAGTGCCGTAATCTGGCGATGTTTCGGAGATGATGGAAGGCAGTGCCAGTTGTGGCATGGATATGAGGAAGAAAGGACAGCTCAGGGTCGAACAGAACCCCAAGGTTCCTGACCGGCTTTGAGAGGTGGAGAGTGCAGCCTTGGATGCTGATGCTGTCAGCGCCTGAGGTGCGGAGGCGCTGACGCGAACCAATCAGGAGGGCCTCAGTTTTACGCACGTTGAGCTGAAGAAAGTTGTCTCTCGTCCAGGACTCGATGTCGGACAGGCAGCTGTCAGGACATCGGTGGTCGTGGAGTTGAGGGTAGAGGAGGAAAGGTAGAGTTGGGTGTCATCCGCATACATGTGGAAGTTAACCCCATGTCTGCGGAAAATGTCACCAAGGGGGAGCATGTAGTGGGTGAAGAGAAGGGGACCGAGGAGAGCCTTGAGGGACACCGCATGAGTCAGGCAAGAGAGGGGGAGAGGCAGAGGGACTGTGGGATGGAGTTCCAGAGGGTGGGACAGAGAGGCAGAAGGCCTGCCCGCCAATGGTGGAGCGAGCGAGGGGGATGTGAAGCAAGCCAGAACCGGCTGAGCGGAGGGAGCGAGCAGGATAGTAAGGGGTTAGGAGGTCGCAGAAGTAGGGGGGAGCAATACTATGGAGGGCTTTTTGAAAGTGAGTGCCAGAATCTTGAACTGTATCCTCTGTGTGATGGGAAGCCAGTGGATTTGGGCAAGGATGGGGATAGTAGGGTCATGGAGCCTGGAGCGAGAGAGGACATGGGATGCAGAGTTCTGGATGATCTGCAGCCTATGGAGGGAGGAGTTGTGAGGCCGACAAGCAATGATTTTGCATAGTCAAGCCTCAATGTAATGAATGCGTGTATGAGGGTTTCGGTGTCCTGCGGTGTGAGACAGTGGCGGAGCCGGGCCATGTTGCGGGGGTGGGGGAAGATAGAGCGGGTCATGGCACAGATGTGGGGTAGAAAGAATAGTTGAGGGTCAAACAAGCCGCCAAAGTTCTAGACTGGCTTAGCAAGGTGGAGTGTGTAACCATGGATGGTGATGCTGTCAGCGCCTGAGGAGTGGAGGTGCTGACGGGAGCCAATCAGGAGAACCTCGGTTTTGTTGATGTTCAACTGAAGAAAATTATCTCTCATCCAGGACTTGATGTCTGACAGACATTCTGTCAGGACAAACAGTGGTCCTGGAGTCAAGGGTGGAGACAGAGAGATATAGTTGCATGTCATCCGTATACATGTGGAAGTTGATCCCATGCCTGCGGATGATGTCACCAAGAGGGAACATATAGATATTGAAAAGGAGGGGACCAAGGACAGGGCCCTGAGGAACACCGCACAAGACGGTGCAGAGGCTAGAGGAGAAACTGTTTGTGGAGATGAAGTGGAGGTGGTGTGAGAGGTATGATCTGAACCAATCAAGGACAGAGCCGTGAAGGTTGAGGTGAGAGGAGAGGCAGTGGATGAGGATAGAGTGCTCGACGGTATCAAAGGCAGCAGAGTGGTCAAGTAGGACAAGAAGGAGCCCTGGTCACAAATGGACAGAGTGTCATTTGTCACTTTGACCAGGGCTGTTTCTGTGCTGTGGGCGGCACAGAAGCCCGATTGGAAGGGTTTGTGAAGGGAGTGGCAGCAGAAGAAGAGCGACCTGGGAAGCAACAACTTGTTCTAGAACCTCAGACAGGTCCTGGAACGATACCTTACTTATCATGATGTTGTCTCTCAGTCAGAGTCAGAGGTGATGCTTCGAGGACCTCGTTCTTCAGAAACCAGAGATCGCAGCAGATCTACACTGGGATGCTCAGATGAGAGTGACTGGCCCACATGTGATGATCAGGCCTGGGTAGGTGACATTGAGATCTCAGTTTGTATTGAATGAATGACTCTGAGTTGAGTTGAGTGCTTTGGGATATGTCCAATACCTGGGAACTTCTCCTGACACAAACAATGCTATATAAATGCAATTTGTTGTTGCTTTTGTTATTGTGTTTGGATCCCCAGACATCATACCCAGACTCTGTTCAGATTGAAGCTTGAATACTGCATACTGGTCTGGTCACCGCAACATAATAGGGCTGCCCAAGCCCTAGAGGCAGTGCAGAGGAGAGCAACAAGGATGATTCCCAGTGTTAGACGAATGTACTATATGAGCAATGATTAGACAAGCTAGCACTTTTTCGTTGTGAGAGAAGATGACGCAGAGGGAACCTCTTAAGGATATATAAAACTTTAAATGGGATTGGAAAGTAAATAGATACAATGCAAAATTACATTTGTTTAGTGCCCAAGGGCGGGAGAGAGGTGACGGGAACGTGAGATGGAGTTCCAGAGGGTGGGGACAGAGAGGCTGAAGGCCCGACTGCTGATGGTGGGGGGGGGCCGGGCAGTAGACATGGAGCTTGTGAGTGGAGAGAGCGGGCAGGTTAATAAGGGGTCAGCAGATCACACAGGTAGAAGGGGGCAAGGCCACGGAGGGCCTTGAAGGTGAGGACGAGGATTTTGAATTCTATCCTCTGAGGGGTGGGGAGCCAGTGGAGCCGGGCGAGGCTGGGGTGATGGGTTCACAGAGCCTGGTTCGGGAGAGGAGACGAGCTGCAGAGTTCTGGATGATCTGAAGCTTGTGCAGGAAAAGAGTTGGTAGCAGAGTCAGGAGAGTGCGGGGCGGAGCCGAGACCCAGCTGCGGGTATAAAGCCCAACCAGGTGAGGAACTACTCAGTCGGGAGTGGAGTCTGGAGAGCTCAGAGGGGGGTAAGTGAGGGAAGGGGGCGACATTCACAAAGTGACGTTGGCGTGACGTCACGATTAAAAAAAAACCAACAACAACAACAATGGCCTGGCAGCCCCTGGCACTGCCATCCTGGCCATGACCACACAGCCTGCGGGCTGGTGCCATCCCGCTGATCGTTCGCTCCCGGTCTCTGCGTGCGCGTTTTGGCTGCCGCCCTGACCCGAGCCTCCCCCTCCATTCTAATGTCTCTCCTACCGCCCCCCACTCTAAATGTCTCTCCTCTCACCCCCCTCTATGTCTCTCCTCCCACCCCCCTCTATGTCTCTCCTCCCACCCCCCTCTATGTCTCTCCTCCCACCCCCCTCTATCCACTACTCCGCCTCTGTCCTTCTCTCCTACCGCCCTCCCCACCTTCTCTCTCTCCTCGACCCAATCACCAATTCCCTCTGCTCCAGCCTGGGCATCCGCCGCCGGGCCCATCGTGGCTCCCGGCACTGGCTGTCCCAGAGCAGCAACCCCATGTGTCCCATCATTCACTCCCTCCACTCAAACCGCCTCCTTAAAGCAAACCTGACCTCCCCCTCCCTCATACGTACCCTCCCCAACTATCCACTCGCACCACTCTCCACAACCATCTCTCCCGTACACCCCAAAATCCTCTCTGCATCACTCTCACCTCCCTCTCCTTCCTCCGCTCCCTCCAGCAAATCCACCTGCATTTCCCTCCAAAATGTCCGTTCCCTCTCAAATAAAGCCCTCACCATCCACGACATCATCCTGGACGAGCACTTTGATATTCTTGGGCTCACCGAAACCTGGCTTTCCCCCAATGACCCTGTCCCCCTAGTGGAAGCCTCCCCTCCAGGCTACACCTTGCACCACATCCCCCATCCAAACCAACGTGGCGGCAGGGTGGCGTTCATTTCCAAAGCCTCCCTTGGTCTTATCCCCTACTCCTCTGGCTGCTTCCCCTCCTTCGAGTACCTCACCCTCTTCCATCCCTTTCTTCAAAATCCTCCTGTCTACCACCACCCTAAGCCCCCCAGCTCTTTCCACACAGATATCTCTAATCTCCTCTCTGCTCCGAGCGCCTACTCATAATGGGCGATTTCAACCTCCACCTAAACTCCCCCTGCACCACTTCTGCTGACTTCACTGCCTACCTCTCCTCCCTAAACCTCACCCTTCATATAAATTCACCCACCCACAACCGTGGTCATGCACTTGACCTCGTTATCACCCATGGTCTTGACATTTCCAACCTCAGCATAGTGGACAAGGCCATCTTGGACCAATTCCTCATCTCCTTCTCCTTTCACATCCTTTTCTCCTCCACCAAGCCCTCAACCATCCACTACCGCCCTTGGAAAAGGCTACCACCTGAGACCCTCATGAAGGCCCTCTCATCATCAAACATCTTATCCCTCTGGCCCTCCACCCGCGGAGATCTTGAAGCAGCCATCCAGCTGCTCCATGATCGCCTCTCCTCCACCTTCAACTCCCTTGTCCCCCTGAAATCCAGGACCTTCTCCAAAACCACACGATCCTCCTAATACAACAACCATTTCCGCCGCCAAAAAACCCAAACCTGGCTGCTCGAGCACAGATGGCGGAAAACTGGCCTGGCAGTTCACCGCCAACGGTGGCTCGAGCATTGCCACAGCTACTGCCGTTCTTTGACATGCGCAAAAACGGCCTTCTACTCCAACATCATCTTGGAGGCTAAACACAACCCTAAAATCCTTTTTTCCACCACCCACTACCTCCTCCGTGCCCCACCTCAGGCCTCCTCAATTTTCATATCAAATGCCAAGTGTGAGGAGGTCATGGACTTCTTCTCTTCTAAAATACTTAACATCTGCCAGGCAGCCTCATCCACCTGCCTCTTGTCACCCACTATCATGCCCTCTCTGTCCCCCTCACCCTCCCCATCATCTGCTCCTACCACCACCCCCATCCTACATTCCTTCCTCCCCATCTCTCCCTCCTCCCTCTCACCTACCATCACCTGCTGCCTCGACCTCCTCCCCACCAACTTGCTGGCCACCCAGCTCGTCCTCCTCTGCCCACTGCTGGCTAACATAATCAACCAGTCTCTCTCCTCCAGATCAGTCCCTGCCCCCCTCAAAACTGCTGTCATCAAACTCCTCCTCAAAAAACCTTCCCTAGATCCCTCAAACCCCAGCCACTAACGCCCTATTTCTAACCTGCCCTTCCTCATAAAAGTCCTAGAATTCGTTGTTGCCAATCAATTTCACGCACACCTCTCCTCCCACTCCTTCTTCGAACCCCTCCAGTCTGGTTTCCACCCTGCCCACAGTACAGAAACTGCGCTTGTGAAAGTCTCAAACGACATCCTCTCTATCTGTGACCAGGGCTCCCTCTGCTTCCTTGTCCTCCTGGACCTCTCCGCCGCGTTCGACACAGTCAATCACGCCATCTTCCTCCACCACATTTCCTCCGTCATCCACTTCAGTGGGACCGCACTCGCCTGGTTCGAGCCCTACCTCACAAACTGACAGCAGTACATCTTCACAAACGGCTTCTCCTCCCGCTCTCACCCGATTACCTGCGGGGTACCCCAAGGATCCATCCTTGGCCCCCCTCCTCTTTCTGATCTACATGCTCCCTCTTGGGGATGTCATCCGCAAACATGGGGTACATTTCCATATGTATGCAGATGACACCCAACTCTATATTTCCACCTTTCTTTGTGACCCCCAGTCCCCTGATGTTCTGTCAGCCTGCCTGGAAGACCTCAGGGGCTGGATGAGCGCAAATTTCCTTCAGCTGAATGTTGACAAGATAGAAGCCATACTCTTTGGCTCTCGTCAACCTCTAACATCTCACGGCTCTCACCTCCTCTACCTACCCGACCTCCCCTTAAAACTCTCCAAACCCGTACGCAACCTCGGCTTCAGTTCGACCCCCAATTATCCTTCTTCCCCCACACCCGGTCCCTCACCAGCACTGCTTTCTTCCACCTCCGAAGCATCACCCATTTCCGACAATACCTCTCTCCGAAAGCCATTGAAACCCTGGTTCATGCTTTTGTCACCTCTCAGCTGGACTATTCAAATGCCTTTCTCACCAGCCTCCCCTCCACTACCATCCACAAAATCCAGATTATTCAAAACTCTGCCGCCTGCATTCTCACCCGCAACAAACTCCACTCCCTGATTACCCCAGTCCTTGCCAGACTGCACTGGCTGCCTGTCCCAGAGAGGATCGACTTCAAGATCCTCAACCTTGTCTTCAAATCTCTCCACTCCTCTGCATCCTCCAACCTCTCTGACATTCTCTCTCCTCAAAACAGTGCCCGTTGCCTTCGTTCCTCCAGTTCTGGCCTCCTCCTTGTCCCCCGAGTCCTCCACTCCACCCTCGGCGGCCGTACCTTCAGCCACTATCCCCCAAGGCTCTGGAACCCCCTTCCTCACTCCCTTCATCTCGCTCCCTCTCTTCCTATTTTCAGGTCACTGCTGAAGACCTTTCTTTTCAACTGCTTCTTTGGTCACCTTCCTCCCCCTCCCCCTGGCTCAGTCCTGGGATCCGTTACTGTGAAGCGCTCTGAGACGCTGTCCGGCGTGGAGGGCACTATATAAATCCAAGTTGTTGTTGTTATTATTGGTAAGGCTGACAAGCAGGGAATTGATGTGGTCGAGCCTAGATCAATACTTTAGGATGTATCATGGCAATAGAACAAGAGGACATATGCTTAGAGTTGTAAAGGGCAATTTCAGGACAGATACCAGGAAGGTTTTCTTTACCCAGTGAGTAATCAACACATGTAACAAATAGGTAGAGTAGGATGGTAGAGGCCAGGACACTAAACTCATTTAAAAAAAGAGTTTGATGCTGTGAAGTGGGAATGATTTGGAGGAATGAGATCAGATGGGGGAAAGGACCTCCTTCTTCCAAACCAATTTTGTCAGTATGTGATCTTGAATGACACAGTGTGAAGACGTTGTATTTAAATCTGAATTACTTGGGACAGGGTCCGAAATGCCCATCCGGATGCCGAATCCAAGGGCTGATGGACCATGAGGATCGCAAAACAGATGACAGAGTAAGGAAGATCCGACAGATGTTGGACGACTACTCGAAAACATACGAATCTACCCATATGAGCGTCACCCAAGCAACCAGAAGAATCAGGGAAACTCTGAACGAAGTGGGAGGTGAGAGCCTCCTCTGCTGCCGTCCATTTCATAACGTTGTTTGAATGAGAAACGTTTCTAATTGAATTCTTGTCTTTCTCTGCGCCTTTAGACTCTGGTACTACCTACTATAAGCTGGTGGATTCACTCAATTCCCGACTTGCCAGCTTGCAGGACAGACTCAATCACCAAACCACCAAAATACAGCTTCTGAAAGAAAGTATATTCCAACAATTCGAAGAAATTATCCGACTGGAGGTAAATAAATGTTTTCCTTATTTTGAAATTGCAGTGCTGTGTTTTTTCAGGCAGATAGCACTGTGTTAGCCTTATGAATCTAGATTTCTATAATAACTATAGTTTTTGTTACAATGAATCAATTACAGATGAAATTATGAGTATGAATTATTTAAATGAGAATGTTTTTAAATATTTTACAATATTCTTCACATTTATTCAGAATGTTTTCACAAAACCTTAACATGGTAAGTTTGGAGACAGTGCTTGTTTAATTAACATTCCTGCCACTATTGCTGCATCTTTATGTTAGGGTTAGGGTTATCTGGGTTACTAGTGATATGTGGGTTGCATTTCATTATTATTATTATCATTATATTATTATCATTATAATAATAATACTTGGATTTGAAATAGCCCCTTATCACGTCATTGAGACATCTCAAAGCGCTTCACAGTATATACTGTAAAGTGAGTTGAGTGTATATTTTGTTGGCAAAACATGGCAGCTAAATGCACACAACAGTGAACCACAAGCAGTCAGGGATTCAGTGATCAATTTTATCAGGGGGTGTTGGCTTCAACACCAGGATAAATTATTTCTGAATAGTACCATGGGATTTTTAATGTCCACCGTAAGTACTTCAAATGCTTATTATCATTATTAATATTATATAATTCTTGCAGTTGATACAGGGCCTTTCACATCAGGAGGACATCTTAAAGAGCTTTACAAGATTTACTATAAAGTGACTGAAATTTATAGGTGAATGAAATAGGTTATTGCCTTTCATAAAAAAGTAATCCTGGGGCTTAGTTTGCAGAAGCAGTAATTGTGACTTCCATTTGCCCTCAATTTACAATTTTCACAAAACAGCGATTCACAATTTCCAAAAGGTGACAAAATATAATTTAAAAAACCTTTATAAAAAACAAGCAAACTGCACAATTCAATTTAACTGCAGTCATGAGGGAATACAATAAATAATCAGCTGTTCTATAGACAGTGCTCATCAAAGTCACAAATGACCAGGGTCTCTCTGCCGCCTTGTCCCCTGGACCTCTCCACTGCTTCTACTCCTTTGACACAATAAATTTTAGGAGTCTTGTAGCTCAGTAGTTAGAGCACTCGCCTCACAACCGAGAGATCTGGGTTTGATTCCCATCAGGCCGACACCTTGGACAAGTTTCCTTACTCCACACGCCTGATAATAAACCTCCAAAAAAAACAATAATAAAAAATTGGGTTAGTTCAATCCACGACTGTTTGTGGGACACTGCTGTGCGCAATTGGCTGCCGCTTTTCACCCACAAATATACAGTCAATTCACTTTACAGTCTATTCTGTGAAGCGCTTTGAGACGTCTAGAAGACATGAAAAAGCGCTATATCAAATGCAAGGATTATTATTATCATGCTATCCTTCTCCACCGCCTCTCCTATAACATCAGCCTATGTCAGCCTGGCTTGGTTGGTAGCACTCTGGCTTGGAGGCTTTGAGTAAGAGGCTTGTGGGTTAGGAGTTTGAAGTCACGTAGTCTAGGCTGACATTCTAAAACATACCTAGGGCTGCGCTGGGTTGTTGAAGGTGTCATCCTTTGGAGGTGCTATTAAACCAAGATCCTGTACTTTTCAGTTGGATCTTAAAAATCCCGTGGCACTATTTGGAAAACAGTAGGGAGTTTCTCCTGGTATCCTGGTTGACAATCCCTCAAATAAAATTGGTCATACACTCCATGGTTGTTTATGGGATATTACTGTGCACAAATTTGCCTACTAAAAGCAAGATACAGTCATCACAGATTATAGTAAATCCTAGGAAGCGCTTTGAGACATCCTATCCATATGAAAGACACTGTAGAAATGTAAAGGTTATTATTTAATTTCATCTGTTTAATTTTATTAAAATTAATAAAAATTACGATTTAAAATTAAAAATGGTGAAATGTTAGGCAAGTTTCCTTGCTCCACATGCCTCTGTTTATCTAGCAGCAAGTAGGAACCTGGTTGTTAGTCAATTGGTGGATCTCTTTTCTGGGGCTAGTAATCCATCCAAAAAACAAATAAATAATAATAATTTGGTCACTCAATCCACGACTGTTTGTGGAACACTGCTGTGAGCAATTGGCTGCCGCATTTCACCCACAATATTCACTTTACAATATATTCAGCAAAGCACTTTGAGACATCTCGAAGACATGATTAGGCGCTATGTCAAATGCAAGGATTATTATTATTAATTTTATTTAAAACGCTGCATTTCTGCAATATTTTGGATGCCAACTAACTGGCAGGATAAGAAAAACAGTTTTATTTGAATGAAATGCGAAATACTAAAGATGCTGGAACACTCAGCATGTCAGGGCAGCATCTATGGAGAAAAGAAAGTGCGTCAATGTTTCGGGTCCACCACCCTGTTCTAAAAAAGGGTCGTGGACCCGAAATGTTGACTCACTATCCTTTCCACATAGATACTGCCTGACCTGCTGAGTGTTCCCAGCGACTTATGTTTTTGTTTTCAATGTTATTTGAACGTTCAGAATAATATATAATATATTATTTTTGCTAGATTGACATTGACATCAAGATACAAGCTTGCAAAGGATCTTGTGTCAAGTCCTTTGTCTACGACATCAACAAGGAAAATGATGCCCGTGTTGAAAAAGTCCTCAGGTCAATGAGCATCAAGAGACTGGAGAAGATTGAATATAAGAAGCCACTGCACAGTCTCAAAATGACTTCTACCAAGACAGCTGATGTGGTCACTGGCTTTAAATCTGAACTGGATTTGGATCATGGATATTCTGAATTCTGGAAAGAAATACATACTAATGTAATTACCCTCGAAGATTATTTCCAACCTACAAGTTCTTATCTAGATTTCAGCTATTTTGAAAGCTCACTCTCACCTCTCATGCCTGCAGCTATTACTACTGCATCTTCTGACAGAATTAGCACAGGGGATGGCAACATATCCTCACCTGAGGATGGAATAAGTATTACAGAGAGGGTCTCTGCACCCTTATCCCTTGGCGAAGTGAGTATTATTGCAGAAGAACTACATTTGGCAGAGGGGGCAAACAAAATTGGCTCCTCTTATGGTTCTCACACTAAAACATTTGGCATTATGGCTGAATCTAAGACAAAGCAAGGTTACATAAAAGACAATGACACCAGAACTGTCCCTGACCTGTCACTCCCTGATCCACAAGCAACAGATCCTAAGGAAGCAGTGGGATGGTCAAAGCTAGAGATGAAGGGGTCAAGTGCTAGTTCAACTCATGTGAAAATCAACAGCTCTGATAGTGTCACTGAATATATCAATTTAACGGATATTGATGACTCTGGCAGAATTGACAATATAAAACCCACTTTCCCCACAGCCAACACCGGGGTGACAGACTCCAAAGGGAGTGTATCTCACACAGAGGCTTTCAGCAGCAGCCGATGGTTCACCAAAACAGACGATTCTAAAGGACTCCCAAATATTTTGAAATCTCTTCATTCTTCTTCAGACCCAGTGTTACCGCTTCGGGATGAAATTGGACAAGATTTTCCTGATATATTTGCTCACAGCACTAAGGTGCAGAAGGCTGATGGGTACATTGGAAAAGGTAAGCTGATGACGTGTGTTCCAAGTTTTTGTATGTGTGTCAGGCTGGCTCAGTGGGAAGCACTCTCGTGGCTGAGTCAGAAGATTGTGGGTTCAAGCTCCATATCGGCACCTTGTACTCACACAGTCTCAGCTGACACTCCAGTACAGTGCTGATGTTGCACTGCACATTGTTGGAGGTGCTGCCCGAATGAGATGTTAAACCGTGGTCCTATTCAAGTGGACATTAAAGATCCTTGGCACTATTTGAAATGAGAAGGGAGTTTCTCCCAGTGTCCTCGCCAACAATTCCCCCAAATAAACAATATCCCACAGTGGCAAAAGTTAAACAGGAATCCTTGCATTTGACACAGCGCCTTATCATGTCATTAAGATGTCTCAAAGCACTCACAGAATATATTATAACGTGTAGTTTATGGGTGAAAAGTGGAAGCCAATTGCTAACTGGAGTGTCCCACAAACACTCGTGAATTGAGCGACCAATTTTTTTTTCCATTTTCATTTCTTTCATTTTTTTCCATTCCATTTCTTTTCAGATTGTAGTGATATCATCCAGAAACATACATCTGGTGGTGAAGATGGTTTGTTTACAATCAAGCCCAATGGCTCAGCTGCTACTATCACAGCTTACTGCGATCAGAGCACTGGTCTCGGTGGCTGGATCCTAATCCAGCAGCGAATGGGTGGATCAGTCCACTTCAACCGATCCTGGGATGAGTATAAGAATGGATTTGGTAGCATCGATGATCAAGGCCATGGAGATGTCTGGCTGGGAAATGACAATCTGCACTTACTCACGCAAGAGGAAAGCCTCCTTCGCATAGAGCTGGAGGACTGGTCAGGCCACATGGTATTTGCTCATTATATTGTAAGCATAGGTTGTGAATCAGAGGACTACATGCTGAAACTCTCTGATTATTCAGGTGATGCTGGAGATGCATTAATAGCAGGGCTTCCAGAGTATGGTAACCATACATCCCACTCTTACATGAAGTTTAGCACCTACGACAGAGATCACGATAGATGGGAGGAGAGTTGTGCAGAGATATATGGAGGGGGTTGGTGGTACAATAGCTGTCAGGCAGCTAATCTGAATGGAATTTACTACACGGGTGGGCAGTATGATCCTCGCAATAACATGCCTTACGAAATAGAAAATGGAATGGTGTGGATTCCTTTCAGAGGTAATGACTACTCTCTCAAAGTTGTCAGGATGAAAATTCGACGAATTGCTACTAACTAGGCTAGGAGCTGTTCTTGTCGAGGAATTTTGTTAACAACGTCTCCTTTTTTTTATTGTTGTATTAAAAAATAAGTCAATTTCTCCTGTAATTTCTTGGTGCTTCAGCAAAGTACTGGATGACCCGGACTAATGCTGAATAAATCGCTGATCATTACATATCAACTACCAGCCACCCAGCAGAGGGGATGTTTATGCCCCCACTTCACATTCAATGCAGTCAAGAATATACTCTCCACTCCAGATAACTCCAGATAACATTATAACTAATATAGCTAATTCAATATTATCCTGATCCAAGTGTAGCAATTCGAGTTACTGTGGGCAATGACTTCCATTGTGTCTCTACAAAATTCTCCAGGGATATAAAATAACAACAACAACAACAGCAAGAACAACAAATTACATTATATTAGGATGTCCCAAGGCGCTGGACATTGAAGGATTTGCACCCAAGCTGAGGGTTGGAGCCAAGAGGGTCAAGGGCAATGGGGGTGGAGGTGGGAAGATAACCAAAGACACGGTTGAAGAGGAAAAACAGCCCATAATTCCCACATTGATTTTATTCCGTCAATAAGAGATTTAAACTGTAGGTGAACTTATAGACAGAGATGGAAGACCATCTCCTCGCTCAACCAGCCTCCAGTCCCCGATTGTTGTCTCAGAATAAAGTGGGAATGACAACTTTCCTATTATCTACAGCAGGAGCACTCAGCATGGGTAGCTAAGTATTTTTTTTGGTCAGCTGGGTGTCTGACACACATGGAAACCCATCACCATGCTCAAAGAATACAAACCGAACTGAAAATTCCATGCATTCTGCCTACATGTGAAAATCCCAGAGATAGATTATTAGAATGATTTGTATATTCTCTCCTTGGAGAAACACATCTTGCTTACCTTATTCCAGAAAGTATTAAGCACAGGTTGGAAGAGCCAAGGCTTGGGGACCCCGGAGTGTGCGTTGGGGTACTGCTGGTGTTCAACTACCTAAAACGGGATAGTTTGCCATTGATATCCCTGTCCGGCAAGCTTCCCCACTGCTTGTCCAGTTAGGACCTCCCTACCCATTAGGGCTTTGGCTTGCACGATTAACCGGAGCTAAGTGGGATGATTCTCTGCCCCCGGTGACTGGTCTGCCCTTCCAAATCCTGCCGATGAGCCAGGCTGGCTGTGCTCTCATCAGCAGTGTCCTGGAATACTGCAAATCCACCTGGTTCAGGAACTGGACTACCACAGAGGGCTGGCTCAATTCCAACATTCCAAAAAGACCCCGCTTACCTCTCCCCTTCTAAGGTAAGACAGTACAAAGAGGCTAAGTACAAAGAGATACACTTTGCAGAGAGTTAAAGAAGTGTAACAATGAGGTATCGAATAATAGGGTCAATATTATAACAACAACTTGCAATTATATAGTATTCTCCACGCAGGGTAATGTCTCAGAATGCTTAATATTACATTGAGTTTGCTAACAATATTATGATCAAATGTTCATTAGAGGTTAGAGGCTTGATTAGAAGTTATTTATAAAACTTGATTGTCTGTGTAACTAATGCTGTGTAGAATGAGTCCTTCTCCATCATCGTTTACATCGCGGGGCCTGAGATATTTCTTTGCCCTGGGGTTGCTAGAGGATGTGCTGGTTACTTCCAGTAGATCCAGTTCTGTGGAGTCGGAGAGTACGAGGTCCTCACTAGTGAAGCTTTTCATGCCGAGAAAGTTATGGCATGGTTGGCTGGACAGAGAGCCCTGGCAGAGCAAGCCCATCAACCCCTCTTGTGCCATCACATGACAGCCAATCACACCAGTGCATGGAATTCACCGAGGAAAAAAGTGACTGTTTTGTCTCAGATGGTGTGACTGGGGAACCCATCGACAGCGTGATGCCAGACAAGCAGCTTGATTGAAGCAGGATCTTTACCTGAACTTCGGTGTTGATGGAAGAGCTAACCTCCAGTGGTAGTGAGGGTGGGTGGGGGAAGAGGGCTGAGGTCCACATGATCAAGGATACTACTGAGCAGTGACTCCACATTCTATACTGTTCATCTACCAAGTGACTTTTCATGAACTCACTACCTCCTCACTACCTTCTTGCTGCCTGCTGCTGTGCCCAACTCAGAGGAAGGTTTTCTGACTGTGCAAACCTCGATAAATGTTTACGGACTTGACACGCGTTCATGGGACGATGTTAACCTGCTGGAATTTACAATGATATGTGCGATGGTGCTATTTTTGGTTTTGTCCAAGATTCTGTGTGTACGTCTGACCAACAATCCCAAAATGCAAACAAAAATGCCTTCATTTGTGAAAGCCTAATGGTTTGGGTGATGCCAATAAAATATGTAAAGGGCCCTTGTGAACTATTGTGCATATTTGCTGTACCTCTATACTGGGTAATGTGCTACCACCCATTTATATTTCCACAGCCATAGAGCTAGACACTTCAGGCCAGCAATTTCACTGTGCCTTCGAACATATGAGAATTTAAAATTTCTGATCAAGCAGAATTGTGGAAAATTCTTAAATTCAGTACAATTTTGGAAACCATTTGTTTCCCTGTAATATTGAGGGGAAAAAAGCATCCAAATTAAGAGAGAATTTAAGAATTTTCGCATGATCTTTAATTTTAAGGCAAAATGTTCTCGCAGGCTAAAACTGGATGGAATTTTGGGCCCATCATTATGTAACCAGTGTTTTTGAATATGTTTATTGTCTTTCGATTTTTTAAATGCTTAATCTGTTGCTTACTGTTTAATGTATAATAATACACTGTTGGTATGTTAGTGATAGCCACTGCAGGGCATCACTCACCTTAAGAGTACATAAATATAATAACTTTACTTACAGACTTGTTATAAAAGCACATTGTATTGCACAAAACGTTGCTGATTTTTTTTTACTAGGGGTAGTAGCCTGCAGAAGGATGGTATAGGACAGAAAAAATCATCCCAAAATACAATGCCTGTCATCAGTTCCACAAACCATCTGCTAGGTACTGAAGTCCTTTGTGCAGTGTGAATCATTGTGTTGTATCAAGTGGGCGAGGCTTGCAGAATGTAAGAACACTATTAAATCTGTTCGCCTATGGCACGGTGTTTCCACCTGTGGCTATTGATAGCCAGACTTGAGAAACATCCGCGGGACGCATAAGCAATATTTTTGTGTTTCCCTTCCAGAAGCATAATAATAATCCTTGCATTTGATATAGCGCCTTATCATGTCGTCGAGACGTCTCAAAGTGCTTCACAGAATATATTGTAAAGTGAATTGACTGTGTATTTTGTGAGTGAAACGCAGCAGCCAATTGCATATAATCAGTGTCCCACAAACAGTCTTGGATTGAGTGACCAAATTATTATTATTTTAAAATTTTTTTTGAAGGGATTATTTATCTTGCTTATTTATTGTGCTCATTCTTTCAGCTGATAACACAGCATTCTCAACTGCACACAATGATATATTCTATGGTTCTAAGTAGCATGTGGACTGATAAAATGACTAACAATAAAATAAAATGATTCTGGGAACTAAATTGATTTCTGGTTAATGTGGCTCAATTAAAAAAAATCCTGTGTCTAATTCAGATCAGAAGTTAAGATTTCACATCAGTTCATCAGGAAGTGAACAATATGAATTTCAGTACAATTTACTCAGCTTTGTTGTGGATTTAATTTAAAGCATTTGTTTGACCAGTATCATTTTTATCACCAAAATAATAAAGAATTCATTAATCGTTAAAAACTAAATGCTTCAGTTATTTCGCTTTTCCTTCCTTTATTCATTCCTTTGTAACATAAACCACAAGAATCATATAGAAATCCTATGTTTTAAATTGTGTAACTGTATTGTTTAATTTAACTATACTTTGGTTACAATGCAAACTTTAAATAGGCAATGTAAAAATTCATACAAATTTTAAAACAATAATACAAGATAACTGCCTTTGTGTGTCTCTCTGTATCTATATGTGTCTGTGTGTGTCTCTGTATTCTTCTCTCTCTGGCTGTCTGTGTGTGTTTCTATATTTGTCTCTCTCTATCTCTGTGTCTCTCTGTATCTGTGTGTTTTTCTGTGTGTGTTTCTCCGTCCGCATGTGTCTCTGTATCTGTGTCTCTCTGTGTCTCCGGATCGCTCTTTCTCAGTTCGTGGCTGGATTAAATCATCCCCTGGGATAAATAATAATCCTTGAATTTGGTATAGCGTCATTTATGTTGGGAGGACATCACAAAGTGTTGCACAAGATATGCTGTAAAGTTCAGCAACTGTGCGCATAGTGGGCGCACGCGGCAGCCATTTTGACCACAACAATATCCTACAAACAGTCATGAATAATAATTCCAAGTTGAAAATATGGAAGCACATCCGGTAACGGGAATTACATCACACTAATTCGTGTGAGGGAGCTCCGCTCCGACACCATTTACATTCAGAATCGAGTTCCCACGGATTGGGGTGAAGCATTTCCAATTATTGGAAAGAGCCCCTATTTGCAACTTGGAGTTGTTATGAAGGACTCCTGAGAAGAAACATTACAAATTTGACCCTGCTATCTTCTCCCTTGTTTCAAGGCCACTTCTCCTGAGCCATCCATTGAACTTTGTTACCTTGTTTTTAAATCACGAATGGTCAGTGTCCAGTCTAATTATCTCTGGTGCTTCCAAGCCCTCAGCAAATATTTGTGGCTGTTTATAATCACAGAATGGTGATCAGCAAACAAACAGAGAGCAGGGTCAGTGCAAAAACAACTCCATGGCTTTGATCAGTTGTTTCACCACTATTTTCCCAGAAATCTATTACCTGACTGACCGTCAACTGTTCAGATCCGTGCTATTGCTGTCTGGGACGCTACCTGCGTGAGGGGTGCTATATAAATTTAAGTTGTTGTTGCTAGGGAGCAACCATCTGATTAGCCCGAACATATATAAGTTGAACAATTATACTGTACACACCACACCGTGATTGAAGTTGGCGGACGCAAAATACACACAAATGCATCACTTTACATTATATCTCAATGATGTGAATGTTGCTGCTACTGTTATTCATCCAGTTTGAGACACTATTTGTGTAGACCTGTCTGGAAATTTCTAAACTGGAAACTACATGCCTAAATTCTATTTTTCCAAATAGAAAAACATTTTTTCTCACTTTTCTCTGCGTCTTAAGATTTGGGGATATTAATAACTGCAATTTTTGAAGCATTTTCCGTGCAGAGAACTGACCTGAATTCATCCTTCCAGCAGTAAATGTGCTGTTTGAGACAATTATCTGACACATCTTACAGCTTTTGTATTTTTTCAATGTCATTGAATGATAAGTCAATGTTGTATATTAATGTGTCCAAGTGTTAAACACAATAAATCCTATTTGTAATAAAAATAAGATTCCTTGCATTTGGTATAGCGCTTTATCACATC